TAATGGTCCTCCTAGTAGCATGAGATTGTTTTCTTAAACTTGATTGCCTCCTTGCATGCTTAAGTTCATTGTAAGTTAATAAATTGTTAAGCTCTTTTCAAGAACATGTAATTTCCAACTCAACATCCATTGCATATCTTGCTCTACATCACAAAGAAATAGTAGTAAGGATTTAGTTCAAGCGAAGTTTATTAATGCTGAAGATCAAAATGAATCTTTATTAGAAGAGGCTATTCAACAAAAAATGGATGAGATATTTTGCTAAACTTTTCAATGAAGATTTTGCCGGCATATACCGACAACTGGTAACTTTTTTCATTTCAAGATAATGAGATGATATGATGATTTCTCAAGATTTTTAGTCTCTATCTGTCTATCATGAGTTTTCACAAAAAAAATTCATATTTAAGCATCTCAAACGAAAACCCTACATTGGGTTTGGTTGTTTGCATGATTAACAAACCCTAATTGATGTCAATCCTAAATATTACTACATATCCCTTAGTTCTTTATGATTTTTATTAAAATATGATTACATCCTACCGAGCTCTCTTACCTTGACGTTCTGTCAGTTTGGGCCGTCTGGCTGAGGGATAACCGGATAAGCTTATAGGCTTTTAGCCTTTTATTTTAGTTTCTATATAGAAATTTCATTTATTAGACACCTTTTTTTAATCAGTGATCTGATTTACTTATAACTATAATTATAAATCTCAAATTCTTGTGTTCTTGGTTTGGTGAGTGAAATGATCGGTAAAACATAAATTTGTAAATTCTGCTGATCCGCTCTTCTTTTGTTGAAATTTCATATGCTCCTGTTGTGGTGAATCTTATATTTTTACACTTCTTAATTCCCAAACTTCATTCCTTTTGAGCTAATGTCTGATGCCATATGATTTGTAGCTTTCTTACCTAGTATACCTGTTGTTGGTTCGGTTCAATTGTGGATGAATTTACCAGTTGTGCTATTGTGGGTTCTGTTCTGTCTGCTTGTTGTTACTGAATTACCTGCTTGCTAAATACTGAATTCTCCTGGACTTTTCTTATGCTTAAGTGCTTAATTGCTGCAGCAGTTACAACAGTTCAGAAAATTTAAATGGTTATATGATGTTATTATATCTGCTTAGCTACTGTTATTAGTTATCAAACATGATAATTTAAAATACTAATGATTAAATCTGTTAGCAAAAGTGCAAAACATGTTGTCATTGTTGTGCAATTGTTACAGTTTATTATACCTGTTATGCCATTGTGAGTTCCATGTACATGTTTTTGTGTCTGTTTTTGGCATCTGTTTTGCCTGTTGGTTGTTGTTTTCTCCAAGCTTGTTGGCTGTTGTTTTATTTTCCCGAATCCTATTATGGTTGTTGTACTGTTGTTGGCATGTGGCTGTGGAACTTTTAATGCTTCATCAATTCATATGTTTGATGAATTAGGGTCAAGCGTAAAGCTATAAAAGCTCAAGCAATGATGAGAAATCTTCTAAACTGAAAGTGATAGTCATTGGGGGTAAATACTATTGCAACTAGGTGCATTTATGTTAGCTTATATCAAGAGCAGATACTATATTATTTAACAGATACTAAAATGAGTTTAATGCAAACTGCCGCATTGGATGGTAATAGAGAATTAAAAATATCAAATATTCATTATACTCACTTTTCATTAGTTGTTGAATGAGTTGGAGGGTTTACCTGAACTATTTGTTCAAGCTTTTTAGTTATATTATCTCATGACTTGGAATTTTATGATTTTTATTTGTTTAAGACTTTTAAGATTTAAGTGTTTAATCATCTTTCTTTTGCAATCAATTAAGATAAATCTGAGCTACTAACAAGTCTTTTACGAACTCCTATTTTAGAATATTATTTATTTAACCTTTTTTTTTTTAATTTATTCTACTTAAAGCCTTGAAGATAGATTGTTCTCCACTGGAATGCAAATACATCAGTTTGGCTAGAATGCAAATAGATCAGTTGCAAAATTATCTGTTGAATTTGTAATTTATTCGTGTATTGCTAAAGATAATGAGGAAAATTATTGGTTGTAAGGAAAATTAATTTGTGTGTTGCAAAATTGATCTTATTGGCCGTAAGGAAATGATTCAAATTGCCAATTTCCATTGCTGACTTCGTGTAACCTGTAAGCCGTAAGGCTGTAAGGAAATAAAAAAATTGTTGTACAAAAAATCGCTATACAGATTTCATGTATTGGATGAAATGATTTATTAGTTAATTCAAATATTTGTTTTTCCAATTTGCTATTGCTAATTTTGAAATTAAAAAAAAAAATTGCTCAAATTCTCAATGTTAAGAAAATTTTGAATATTATTTTTAAATTGTAAATCTACTTAAAATTTTCTTTTATACACTAAACTAGTAAACTGTTTAAACAACTCAATTTTTAAAAACAAAAATTCTTTTTTTCAAACAAAGCGAGTTGTCGGGCCAATTTGGGTAGACCTGAAACCCAATCATGTCGGGTTCAGGTTAAGAAAAATAACCCAAAATTCGAATCGGGTCGAGTCCGGGCCGGGTCGAAACAAAGCGAGTCGAAGTCGGGTTCGACTCGAACCCGACCCGCTGACCTGTTTTGACAGCTCTAGCGATTACTCAAACAAAAATTAGAGAGGCTTTAAAGAAAATGAAGTATGGAAAAGTTATTGGACATGATGATATTCCAATGGAGGTGTGGAAATGCTTAGAAGATGAAGGAATTTCTTGGCTTAGTAAACTTTTTAATATAATTTTCAAGACTAAAAAGATGTCAAATGAGCAGAGATGAGTGTGTTGATTCTTATTTTTAAGAATAAAGGTGATGCACAAGATTGTGTGAATTATAGAGGAATTAAGTTAATTTGTCATACTTTAAAACTATGGGAGAGAGGTATGGAATATAGGTTGCAGCGTGATACTAATGTTTCTCAAAATCATTTTGGAATCATGTCAAGAATGTCTACTATGGAAGCTATAAATTTATTAAGAGGTTTGATAGAGAAGCATAGAGAGAATAAGGAGAATCTTCATATGATATTTATTGATTTAGATAAAGCATTTGATAAAGTTCCATGAGAAGTGCTACAGAAAGTTCTAGAAAAAAAAAGGGGTTAATAATGCTTATATTCAAGCCATCAACGATAAGTATGCAGAAGATGTTACTAGTGTTCAAACACAAGGTGGTTTAACCATGTATTTTATTATTTTAGTTGGATTACATCAAGAATCGGCTTTAAGCCTATATCTTTTTGCTTTAGTCATGGATATTCTCTCTACACATTTGTAAGAGGTTGTACCCTGGTGTATGCTTTTTGCTGATGATATTCTTCTTGTTGATAAGACTAGGTTAGGAGTTGAAGGTAAACTTGAATTATGGAGGTCAACCTTAGAGTCTAAAGGTTTTTGTTTGAGTAGATCTAAAACCAAGTATATGGAGTGTAATTTTAGTAGTTGTAGATGGTGACTTTGGGCGATCAAGTCATTAATAAGAGTACACATTTTAGATTTCTTGGGTCTATTGTTTAGAGTGATGGTGAAATAGATGATGATATTATTAGTGGAATTCAAGTTGGATGGTTGAAGTAGAGGAATGTATCAAGCTTGTTGTGTGATGGAAAAGCCCCCCTTAAACTTAAGGAAAAATTCTATAAAACGGTGGTGAGACCTGCAATGCTTTATGGTGCAAAATATTGGCCATTAAAAGGAGAAGCATAATATTAAGTTAAGTGTTACATAGATGAGGATGCTCAGGCAGATGAGTGGCTTTACTCTTAGATACAAGATACGAAATGAGCTAATACGTGAAAAGGTTGGAGTGGCTCCTGTGGAAGATAAGATTAGAGAGAGTCGCCTTAGATGGTTTAGTCACATAAAACGACAGCCTTTTGATGACCCGATTAGGAAAATAGATGTATTGGATTTGGCATATGTTAAGAAAGGTAGAGGTAGACCTAAAAAGAATTGGTAATAAGACACAATGGAGAAAAAATATTCATATAGTCGACCTCACATAGTGGGATAAAGGCATGATGTTGTTGTTGTTGTTGTTGCATTTTTTTTTTTTTTTCTTTTTTTTTTTTTTTTTTTTTGCATAATAAATAACTAGAAAGATAAAATTTTATATTTGATGGTAATTTAATTAGATATCAGATTAAGAAAAAATTTAATGAGCTAAAATTTATGATGATATAGAAGCATACTTTAAGAATGGTTTTGGAAAATAAAAAGCATTGGCCTTACTCACCATACAAAGTTAGAAGAGAACATATTTTTTATCGATCTGGCAATTTTGTCAACTATGATGCCACACTATTTAGATAGTCTAGTTATAAAAAATTATTAAAATGCTTGGTTGAAGAAAAAAAATTTGTAGAAGAAAATAAACTTTATTGACTGCCAAATTTTGTTGGTGGAAATGAGGTCAAGAGTTATATTTTTTATTTTGAGAGTTCATCGATGAAATGTTTGGATAACCATATGCTGTCGGGCAATACTTGGATTAACCAACAAATGTTAACCATATTTAGTTTTTCAATAACTAGATGCTGCCAAAACATAACCAAGTTGATCAAAGACAAACAATCGCAGAATTAAATAAATTTTAGTGTCCGACTAATTTGTTCGTGGAAATGAAGATAAAATCCCATGATTTTGAATTTGAGAGTTCAAAGATGAAATGTATTAAGAAAGAAAAAATCATATTGAAAATGACCGTTTACTTCCATAAATAGTCACAATTGCGTGAAAATAAATGGTAATTAACACACATATACATAAAAAATATTCTTCCCAAAAAAAAAAAAAAAAAAGCAAAGAATTCTTTCCAAGTTTACATAATCAGCGTCTTAAATACTCGTTTCTCCGTGCCTCCCACTGTATTATCAGCACTTCCCCGTTACCCCAAGATTCAACGACATAAATCTCTAATAAGGCAGTAGTGGAAGGAAGGTGCAGATAAAAGAAGTATCCCTAATAATGCAATCAGTGAGGATAGGAGAAAAATACCTAGGCCACAGTCGGCCGGATTGAGCTCGACGCGATGGTGATCACTAACGCTATGAGTTGAGGGCGACTCCTCCACTTTTTGCCTCTTTGCCGCGGGTTCTCCTTGGCCGCCGGGAAGTGGATGATGCTGCTTCGACGCCATGGAAGCAAGGAAATGGGAAATTAAAGAGCAACCAGGGGAAACCCTGGAACTGGCTATGTGTTACTGTGTGCAAACCCGCCTTAGGTCCGAACGCGGGTATGTATAGAGGAATTTTTAATAGTAAAACAACTATTTTTCCGCGTAAAAATTATTTTGATATTTTAAGAAAAATCCTGATTTTATTTAAGACTAGTAAAATGTCCGTGCATTAAATGCACGTGATTAAAATTTTTTTAAAAAATTATATTATAAATATTTTAAGTAATAAATGAATAAATAAATATTTTATAGAAAGTGATAAATGATAAAATTTGAAGAGTCGTATATGAACGTTGTAGATTAATTTTAAATTTATAGATGAACGATCAAGATTTGCTATGGGTGAAGTCCCAAGCCACTTTTATATAGTAGTATAGATATGACAACTACTTATATATATTTTTAATAGATTTTTTAATAAATATATTTAAAATTTTTTATTAGAAAATATACTCCCTATTAGGGGTGTAACAGATGAACATACACATGCTGGATGGTGTGAATCGTGAAAACCACCGTGCGAATGGTCTGAAGCGCGTGCAGGACGCAGAACTGTGTGAGAACCATGAAAGCCGAAACCGAATACAAAAGCTGCTCGATGACTCGTTTTTTGGTGGCGAGTTGAGCTCAACTCGAGTTTGAGCTCGTGATTTAGCTCATGAGTCGACCTCGAGTTAGGCCTGTCTCAAGCTCAGCTTGACTCATTTACACCCCCACTCCCTATTCTTCTATCTCTTATAAGTACAAAATGAAATCCCTTCCTTTCCACTATGGCCAAGATTTTTGCTTTCCATCATTCTTAACTTCGTTGCTCATGAGAATAGATGAATATGTTTTAATTCATGGTCCTTCAAACTCTGATTTCAGTAACTTGTAATCAAATTAAATATCTTGATGAGATACCTTCAAGATTATGAAAATCGGATCATATATGAAACCAGAATAAGAGATTTAAGGTTCAATGATTTGAACAAGGTTGAATCAAATAACATAATAAATAAATATTTAGATATGTTGTAATAATAATTATGCAATAATATTAACATATAATTGATACGTCACTCAAAATTGCCTAGATTCAACATAAATCTCAAGGCATGTTTAAGCTAGAAACTTTCAAAATTAAATTTGGGATCATTCAAGCTCTAATTTCATCAAACTTATAGTCAAACTAAATATCTCAAAGAGATGAATTTGATGACACTAAAATCGATCCAACCCTAGCCCAAATGGGTCCAAATCAAGGGAACATAACATATTTGGAAGGTTCAAAGCATAAGTTTGATGATCAAATAATATTTAAATATGTCATACTTATAGTCTAATCGATCAGCTCGATGAGACGAATCTAACAAACCCAAGATCGCTTAATTTTGAATCATTTTAGCACATAAATGCTTAACAAATGCTCTATGTTCGAGGGGATCAATATGGGTTGTCTAATAAAGCAGTCCAAATTTGCTCGAGATCTTCATATTTAAAGGGCATGTCTATCTCAAAAATATATAAATAGACCCTCACCTTCCAAATGAAAGAGAGGGCCTAGGGGCTTGGACCTTTGGTTTGAGATTGGAAAGTGCCTTGAAGCTTCAAGAGCTCCGCCGAGGCACCACCACCAATGACCTCCGTTGACCGTCATCAAACCACATCCCAACCACCAACAACCACTGAACCACCACCCGGTCAACAACAACCACATGACTTTCACTTGACCATCTTCAAACCAGTTCCCAGCAGTTGACTGCCATCAAACTTCTGCCCGATCATCTTTGGACCACCACCTGGCCGCCAAACCTCCACCAAGCTACCTCCCATTTGTTGAACGTCGTCGTACCTCTATCAGGTAGGCTTCCATCGTTGGACCACCAACCTCCTTAGCCCGCCAATTATAGGAACAATTATTAGGTCAGGTGACCTGACGTAGCTCTACGTTCGGACGCCAATAACATGTCGCCACGTGGTCTTACTCAATATCGCGCGGCCCGACAACCTGACCTGGGATTATTATGTTCGCGTATTGCTCGGTATTGTTCTAGGTATTGCTAGGTATTGCTCGGTATTGCTAGGTATTGCTCGGCAATAATGAGAAATACCATTTTGTGAAGACCAATACCGAGTAATATCGAGAAATACCGAGCAATACCGAGAAAAAGTCGGTATTGCTTGGTATTGGTCTTCACAGAATGGTATTTCTCGTTATTGCCGAGCAAAATCGACCAATACCAAGCAAATACCGAGCAATACGTAGCAACACGCGAACATAGCAATCCCGTTTCCGTTCCGGGTCAGGGTTGTTGGGCCGCGTGGTAAATAGTGAGAACATGTGGCACTATTTTACTAACGTCCAAACGTAGAGCTACGTCAGGTGACTGGACCAAATAAAAGTTCCAATTATAGACCCTCCAACCACCTTTGCCTACCAATTACGATCCCTCCACCTGTCGTCACCTACTGACTACGATCCCTTTGACCCCCATCGCCCACCGACTATGACTCCTCCTCCGTCGCCCATCGACTATGATCCCTTTGACAACTCTAACAATTTTTACCCATTGAATACGATCCTTCTATCCACCGTTGCCTGCCAACTATGGTCCTCCCGACCACCGTTGCCCACCAACTACAATTCCTTGGACCACCATCGCTCGCCGATTATGGTCCATCCGACCAACATCACCTGTGGAGATCCCTCCGACCAAGGTTATAAAAATCAGACCTAATATTAAACTAGAACAAGGAGATGTTATAAGACATAATAAATACTAATTTTATTTTAAAAAAACATAAAATTAACATAATAATGATGCTATCATTATATATTATATGATAAAAGATTAAATAGAACACAAAATTATGAATTAAAAAATATACACAAATAATTAAAAAAAATCTTTTTAAAATAAAGGAGATATAAAGTGTTTGAATAGTCTTACTTAATTGTATATAATTTCATATCAATTCAAACTTCAAACTTAAATATACAAATTAATAAATCTAGAAGCCATCTCCTAGATTTGAAGCATTAAAGTTGACTCCCTAAATTCTCATTCATCAAAACCTCCCATCCAAATGTATCAATATCATCACTTCCAAGTATTTTATGGTCAATCTCTAACATTATCAAAGACATCAACATCTGCATAATAGAAATATAAAATATTATATCTATATTGAACATCTCTTTCAGATGTTATAACTTAATCAAATTGAGAACTTACTTTAAGGTTCTCTAGTATAACTAATATTTACTTTTTAAATAATTAAAGTGATATCTTCTGCATAAATGTCTGTCTCTAAATTCTCCAAAATTGGCTCTTCATCAAGCTAAATTCTCCAAAACTGACTCTTCATCAAGCAACAAAAAATCCACCATCTTTATAATTATACAATCCAAAGGATTATACTTTCTTTGTTTAGTTTTAAATCCACAAAATTTATATGAACCATTATTAAAAAATTATGCATCTTTGTCCACAAATTTATATGAACCATTATTAAAAAATTATGCATCTTTGTATACATAAACATTTAAATATAATTAAAAGTCATACAATCATATCTATGTCTCAAATTGAGGTTTTATCAAACAAATACGTGATCATTGAGCCTTTGATGCTCTGGATAATTTCGACTCTTCGTATGAATTTGCTCAAGTACATTCCAATTTCTTTAATTTACATCTAGAAACTGAAGATGTTTGACTAAGAATGCTAATAGTCAATTTTTACAAATTTGATGCACTTGATTAAAATATCTTCCATCATTTATCCATAAGCAATTAAGAATTAGTTAGTTAATAGATGATTGATATGCATAAAAGAAGAAGTGCATACTAAAATTATTATTTCACTTATCAGTTTGCATTTCTTTGGCCATCGTTAATGCGATTGGTTTGTTAAAGCTTTCTAAATTGTTAAGAAAAAACCTAACCTTCTTCATTGTTGTTGATGGTTTAGGACATATTTCTTTATTTTCAATCAGCTCAATTAAATCTTGTATAACTTTAGGTTTGTGGCAAAAATTTTCTTTATCATATTGAAAATGGAGATTAAGAAAATAGGCTGCATAGTGTATGTCTTGTCTTAACTGGCTATCTCATCTTCTATTTATAATATTTGTATAAGGTTTGTACATTCTTTTGATATTTCTGAACATGAATTTAATAGCTCTCCTTTCTCTATACACACCATTATATATAAACCCTAGAGATGGTTTTTTATTAGAATCAATAATTAACAATAACCAAATTAAAAGCCCAGATAATTTTGAAGTTAATGGATGATACTTCTTTTCTTTTTACTGTTTTAGATATATTTGAATAAAAGTAAACTTTGCTTGTTATAAAAGCCTACAAGTCAAGCTTATGATCATATAAGCTTTTCAAAATGATAAATGTTGTAGCGAATCTAGTAGCTACAGTCCTAATAATTTTCTTCCAACCAACCCTTTTTCTTAATTAACTTAAAATAAAAATATGGTTGTAAACAAAAATTATAACTTTTGATGCTATTTTTGTAAGATCCTAAATATGAGACATATTTTCAATATCTTTTAGAATAAGATTTAAGCAATGAGCAAAACTTGGAGATCAAAATATTACCAAATTTTTCATGTAGTAGTTCCCGTGCTTTCTTATAGTTTGTTGCATTATAATTAGATACTAGTTGCATAATATTTGGTGATCCTGCCCACTCCGCAACTTTACAAAATAATGAACACAGTCGTGGTATCCTTTATAATATTAGAAGCATCCACAAATTTCAAGAAAGTTATACCCCTTGGACAGTAAAGAAGAAAATTAATCAAGGTTCTATTCATTTTATATGTCCAACCATCAGTCATGAATGTGCAACATATTTATATCCATGATTTTCTATATGAATCAATTAATAACTTTTATTCCTCTTTACAATCTTTTAGAAGATTAACTTTCAATTTATAGTATGATGATAATTTGTAACCATGTATAATTGCAATTATAACATCAATTGTCGTTTATGCAAAACTAGAGTTTATGATATTAAATGAGATGCAATTGTCATAAAACCACCTTTTTACTGTCAAAACAACATGGTGTATGACATCTTTGGATGTCATAACAATTTTTAAGAATGTTTGAGAATTTGCTTTAGTTCTTGGAGTAAAAAAATTTCTAGATCATCTCTTTTGGGACAACTTTCATAAACTAAATTTTTGGTAAAAAAAATTTTAGACAAAAATTGTACTAAAAAATTTCTTTAAAAGCAATTAAAAAGCTGTGCCAAACGAAATCAAATTTGTCTCAAATAAGCATTTTAGGAGCATTGTTATAATATGGTACTGCGTCAATTTAATCAAGATTATACAACTTGGTTTAGGGTTTAGTTGGAGGAGGAAGGGCTTGGGGAGCACGATATATGACGGCTTTGTTGAGAAAGGAGAGATTTAAGATGACGCTATGCATATTCTTAGGGCTGTCAAAATCGGGTCACGGGTCGGAATTGGGTCCAACTCGAAATTGACCCGACACTATTCAACCCGGCCCGTTTTTGCAAACGGATCGGTTTTCCGAACCCGAACCAGACCCGATTCGGGTATGTTTTATTAATTTTTTTATTTAATTCAATTTATTTAAATCTAAATCAAATTAAGGTAAGATTTACTTCAATTAATTTAAAATAAATTAAGATTAATTTAATTTGGGCAATAATATTTATAATTTTTTGAAATATCATATACTTATCTCATAAAAATCCTTTAAAACCCTTCTAAATTAATTAAAAACGGGTCAAACCGAGTTGATTTCGGGTTTCCGGGTCAACCCGAACCCGACCACTAGTTCGGGTTCGGGATGACCCGAACCCGAAATTTTCTGATCGGGTTCAGATCGGATTTTCGGGTCGAGTCAAATATTGACACCCATACATATTCTCTTCCTTACTTAGATATTGAAAATCCAGTTCCGCTAATAGTGCGAAAGATTCTTTTATATTGAACCTGTATGGCGCAAATAATGAGCTCTGAAAACATTAAAATGTATAGAAGTGCACAAAAATGAAGAACAGTTAGGCGATTTTTAATTTTTATAGTTTAAATCTGAGTCTCTATAAAATTAATTTAGATTTTGCGTGTTTTGCTAATGGGCTGATTGAGATTTTATTTGGAATAGTTTTCTTAATGTTTTGCTTTTAAGATCATAATCATAATTTTATTTGGCCGTTATTTTTTCGTTGTTTGAAAGAAAAAATTATGCTAAAAATTTACTTTTTACATCAACTTTAAAAATTTAATTTTTCTATAATGCTATTTTTAAAACTAGCAATAACGTATTGGGCTTTAAGTAGCCATTTTTGAATCTGTAGAGTATGGGTGTAATTTTATCTTGTCAAACACCCATACTATACATTTTCTTCGGTCACAAAATCTCATTTCTTTGATTTTCATATAGGCTTCTTTTGGGACGGCTTTCTTATCACTTAGACTTCGTTTGTGACGGCTTTTTATTGATTTTTGAAGTAATTTTTTAGTACAAAAATTAGTAGAAAAATCATCCCAAACGAAACCTTAAAACCAAGAGGATGGAACTAGAAAAGCCATCCCAAAATCCTACAATTTTTGTACTAGAAAACTGCTTCAAGAAGTAATAAAAAAATCGTCCCAAACGAAACCTTAAAGCAGCTTTCTATTATACTAAAAAAACTATTTTAAAAAACAATAAGAAAATCACAAAACTTGGCCTACAAATTTCAAGTGATGTTAACTTTGGCATATATCTCCCACTTCTGGAAGAAACTAGGGGTGTCAATTCGGGTCAGCGGGTCGGGTTCGGGTCGAACATGAAACTGACCCGGCACTGTTCGGGTCAACCCGAACCCGACCCGTTTTTAAAAACGGGTCAGGTTTCCTGACCCGAACCCGACCCGACACGAATGATCCGAATTTGATCTAAAATTGCTAATTTTCGGGTCAAAATCGGGGTCAATATTCAATTTTCGGGTCAAAAACGGGTCGATCTCGGATTTTCAAGTCAAATATGAGTTTTCGTGTCACTTTCAGGTCAATTTCGGGTTGCTGGGTCAACCCGAACCCGACCCAATTTTTAAAACGGGTTGATTTGTTCAACCCGAACCCGACCCGATTCGAATTCGGGTTGACCCGAACCCGGATTTTTCCGGGTCGGATTCGGGTCGTGTCAAAAATTGACATCCCTAGGAGAAACATACAATTCTTCATATACATTTCGGTAAAAAACTACATTGCAGCTCCCTTTCCCCAACAAAAAGAAGAAACTGAACATTTGAATAACTCAATAAACTTAAAGACGCCTATTCTTCACCTCTTCATAGCACATCTAAATCAATCGGGAATGGTAATAATTTAACATGTAAAACACCTGTACATTTTGTCTTCGGTTACAGAATCTCATTTCTTTGATTATGATACAATCAACATACAGACTCATAAGGAATACTAATCCTGCAATTTATCTCCCACTTTTGGAAGATATCTACAATTCTTTATATACATTTAGGTTTCGTTTGAGACAACTTTTTTATTGTTTCTTAAAACAACTTTTTAGTACAACTATTAAAATTTTTGTACTAGAAAGCTGCTTTAAAAAGCAATAAGAAAGCCGTCCCAAATAAAACCTTAGCTAAAAAACCTGCAGCTCTACTTCCCCCAACCAAAAAGAAAAAAAAATCAATAAACTAAAAGACAAGTCTGTTACTCTGTTCCCTATTCTTCACTTGTTCACAGCTCCAGGGGCAGATGCACCAGCATCAAAGGTTATGCGGTCAGCAAGCTTCTTAACTCCCAGTTCATAGATGTAGTAGTTGCTCGTGTGTCCATATATGGGAAAATTATTAGGTCCGGTCACCTGACAGAGAGATACATCCGAATTTCTCTCTGTCTACAATAAAGCGTAGTTACTGTTGCACTTTGACTGAGCTTTTATTATAGACAGAGAGAAATCCGGATGAATCTCTGTGTTCGATGTCCGCACATCGCTTGACGCTTCAATGCCAATCAAGATAGCTATGAACAAGAAGTACTCATTAGTAAGTACCTAAATTTTTATAGCCCTCTTGATCCACCATCTTTTTTGTTTTTTAACCCCTTCAAACAGCCCAGACTTGCGGAGAACCGCCTTAGTTTCCCTTAATTGGGCCTTGAAATACTTCTTCCATGCATTGAACCTAACCTTCAGCCTTCGGAACTCTTCTTCTGGGTTAAGTTGGCCAATGAGTCGAGCTTCATTCTCAAAAACATGCATTCTCTGCTCTAACTCTATTGCAAGAAGCCCAACTTTGTCATTTCTGCACTCATAATCTCTTGCAGGTGCAGAAGCTGCCACAGGAAATTGCCTCGGTGGGGTGGCGTCTGGTGTATGCATCCTGGTAGAAATACCATCTTCTGAGTCATAATTGTGATGATTATGATGAACTGGTGATAAGACTGGCCTTCCACAAGGTTGGCTTGTCTTAGATGCTGCTAAGCTCAACTGCATGAAAATTGTCACATCCATCAAGGAATCATCATCATCAATAAATCACTTTGCTTAGGCTTCGTTTGAGGCTTCGTTTGGGACGGCTTTTTAACTATTTAAAATAGCTTTTTAGTAAATAAATTAATTTTTTTGTACTAGAAAATTGCTTTAAGAAGTAAAAAAAAAGCCGTCCCAAACGAAGCCTTAGTATAATGTATTGCAACAACTGTCAGATCTAAGGAAATCTTGCAACAACTGTCAGATCTAAGGAAATCACAAACCAGTCTAGACTATCTACAGTACATAAGCCTCCGATTACTGCATGAGCAACACTAGAATAGAGAAATTTTCATCTAGTTATTAGAACAAGTGTAGGGCAGGAGGAGTTGAAAGTCGCAAAGCAGATTAGGAAGAACAAATATGCATCTGGTTTGCTGCAAAATGAATGAATTCTGCCATAGACTCTTGCGTTTCTCGAAAGCAGGGAAGAAGCATAGAGGATGAGATATGAAACAAAGATTCAATGAAGTAATTTGATCCATCTCCAAGAGAATAAAGTTAAAAAAAGATTAAACAGAGACATTGAACCACATTGGAAGATGATAGGAAATACTTGAGTTCGCAAGCAAACCTAACAATAATCGGAAAAAATAACGAGAAAACGAAGAAATCGTGGTGGGAGAACAATCAAACGATGACAAATCTTATAGAAAACAAAGAGAAACATGAACAAAGCAAAGATACAAAAGATCTTCAATTCGACAGGAGGATCGTCTCTCCCAAATCTCTAGACAAGAGAGTCTACAGCCCAAATCGCCAAGAAACCATAATTCCAATCAATCAAAACATAATCTCCCATTCTCCCCAAATCTCTTTCATCATCTTTAATACAAAAGCTTTCCTAATCTAATTTCCCTCCTAAGCCCTAGCCGCCCCCTCCTTTTAAATTTTAAATCCATTGGACAAGTGGGGCCCCCCCTATGGGCGGGCCAAGCCAAGGAAGGTGGACTGATTCCGCCTCCTGTAGACTTGTTGAACCGGCCCTTGGGCCGGCTGGGCCGGTTCAACCTAAACTGGCATATCAGAAGATGCACCAATTGTGCCCATAACGATTAGTCTATCAATTTATATCACCATGTTTCCCTGAAGAACAGAGACAAAACCCAATACAGAAGCAAGTTTTTCCTATTTGCATAGCCTAGTAAATCGACCAGGACCTGCCATGACTCAAAAAGAAGGCAAGCATTTTCTCAGGCACTGTTTTACAAGAATTTTCATAATCTTCCTGCAGTTATTATGTCTTCATTGATAATGAAAACTAAAAAGCAATCAGAACTTACTTGCAACGAAGTTATTTGTTTCTGCAATATCTCCTCCTTGAATTTCATCTTTACATCATTCTCAAACCATCTGATATCAGATACTTGAAGTTTCTCTCGCAAAGCAGCACACTCATCCTCTTTTTGGCTCAGCAATGCCTCTGCTTGCAGAACTCGCCTCTGAAGCTCTGCTAAAGCTGAAGCGTGCACCTGAGCATTCTTCTCATAAGAATCCTGAAAAAATTGACACTTAATCTTGTAATTCTAGGTTGAACATGAGCGCTACAACATACAGATAATTTTGAAACTGTGTTTTGATGGGTCTACACGATAAATATCTGATCAAAATAAACAATTCTATGGTACTTCTAGGTACATGAAGAAAAATGTAACTTTTCATTCAAATATAAACGGCAGGACCCTTTCATAATTTGAAAAAGAGGAAATTACCTTTCTTTCATGAAGAATTTTGTGAATCTTCCCATTGATTTTTTCATGATAAAGCTTTTCCCTTCCATTGCTTTTGAGATAACAAAATTTCTTTCTTGCCAAATAACCACGGATGACTGAGCAAAAATAATGATATATCAAGAAACGCTCTAAAGGTAGTATTGTGAAATGTAAATAGATTACAAAACTTTAGTAAGTACAATATCCAGCCATACAAGATGAGCTCTCTCACCCATTGCATACAAGATGGGTCATCATGAGAGGAGGTAGCGAAGAAATAAAGAAACCTAGCAACATATGTTAAACAAGAAAAAGGAGGAGAGAGAAAGTGATGGAGAGAGAAATGCTTTAAAACTTCTGAAATCCAAAAAAAGTTTAAAACGGATGTAAACGTATGTCCATCTGTAGTTTTGGAAACTTAAAATCTGTTTGAATTATGTAATCATGGAATTTACAATAAATATTATTTTGAGGCAATTTTATAGTTACTGTTATGAATTATCTAGATTAATGTGGTAAACTTACATCGAAATTTCAAGAATTAAAAAAAAATTGCTGTGCTTCAACATGCTGTCAATAGAAAAATCACTCTTTTATGGAGTCTAGATCATATATTATGTGAAACATATCTTGCCATAATATCATGCCTCTTATATATTTGATTGATTTCTTTCAAAAGGTTAACAATTTTCTTTTCAACAGGCTTTACGAATTATTGCCAGGTTGTGAGACAAATCAAAAGCTCAAAACTTACCATTATGATTTTCTTATTTGTCAGCAAGTTCTTAGAAAGAGTTTTTTTTTTAAACTATCCCATACAAGCTCATGTATCATCATAGTAAAATTAAGTAAGAGGTTAAATATGTAATATCAATAAATATACTAATGGTTAATAAAGTAACAAACTTCATTGTAGTTAATAAAGTAGCAAATACTTCAGGAATATTTTTTTAGTCAATAGAAATGTGTCATAGTTATGATGCATATGCCTTACATGATTGAAGTATGATCGCTGCTTGCTTAAGCTCTTGGAAGCGGCGAAGAGCCCGCAGACCACGGTACTGTTTCTGAACCCATACTATCCTTCCAATAGTATTCTTTCTAGCATTTTCCAGCGCAGCAATCTGAAGTTCATCCAATAAATAAGAAAGACTGAGTAACTTATTCCGGGCGAAATTTTGAAAATTGGATATGTAAGCAACAAGTAGTTCAATGCATCATGGCAATAAAAATAAGATAAGAAGATTGTTTCAGATGCTGATGCCTAATGACAATAAGGGAAAGGGAAGAAATCCAAACTATAAGTATGAATTGAGGCTTAATTGTTAAGCATGGGTGACAGCATAAGGATGAGCTATAATTCATATTGCATCAGTCGATAGAGATACTTTCCAACTACCAACAGTACTGTTGCAGATGCATCCAGTTTAACAGAAAATTTCCAAGTTTTCCTAATAAATAAAAGCATAACATGGGAATGGAATTTCCTCATCCGCAAAGATGGATAAGAAATTTTGACGGAAAACAAATAACATGGAAATTTTTTCTATATAGACTGAGGTTTCATAGTCATGTCACAATTGCTCAATTGAGTTATTAAGCAACCGTAAAAAAAGTAATTCAGGTAGGGAGGTTTTAACTGAGAGCATGCTTTCTAAAAATCCACAAAAAACACAGTGGCGACTATTCTAATTAATAAGTTCAACATTAGTCACACTAGAATTTTTTTCCTTTATATCCCCCCTCGTGCTTAGTATGTTCAAGATTTTTGAATCACATCTAGTCATTACATGATCATTCGGTATTTTAGTATAACCGGTGGTTTCAACTTTTCAAGTGTTTAGTTGAGTGGAAAGCAAATGGAAATTAAAGATTTTATAATATACCACTGGACCATTTTGAGTGTATTCTTAGTTTTCCCTAATTAGGCAAATTAAGAATACATGGCCTCTGTGAGCCCATAGAACCATGCAATCCCTCATGGACCTTGACCTTTGCACAGTGCATGATTATAGTCCCTGTCATGCCAAAAAAAAATAAAAAAATAGTCCCTGTCATGCCCTAGACAGAAATCGAGAGGTAAACTTTCAACAAACCAAATTAAAAAAAAAAAAGATTTTAATATTTTAGCTCACAACCAACCAAATAACCTAAAAAATCAAAATACAAAGGATGAATGAACACTACAATTAAAATATTCAAATATCCTAAATACTTGCAACCAAAAGAACCCCTAGATACTTTTCTTCATCACTTCAACATTGCATTTAACTTGCTCAATCAACTAATAGCAAGCAACGTGGATTGTATGGCTAAAATAAAAGTGAAATATTTAATGCTTAATTACATTTCAACCCAATTCCTATTTTAGCTCCATTGAGATTCAAAATCCTTTAATTACCCTTGTCACCCATTATTACTTTATTTGCTAGGAGCATCTAGTAGCATAACCATAATGTAGAGATCTTAAAGAACCTTAATGTGATGTTGACATAGAATTTTCCCTTTTAATTAAATTATTTTAGTGTTCTTTTCTATAAGTCTGTGTGGAATCAATCGGATTGTACTGTTGCCTCGAACCTCAAGTCAATTTCTCTTGCTCGCTAAGGGGATCCTCCCCCTGCTTTGCACCCAAATTTTTTTTGGAACAACGCCTCAACGTTGTATACCCGAGCATCCCGGCGCTACAAAGTTTGTTGGGATAAAAGACAGAGAGTTGAGCGCCACAACGCTCTAAATTCAATGCAGCAGCACTGTCAGGCAGATTGGAGATAGTGTTGAGCGTTGCACCGCTCCAAACTAGCGTCACAGCGCTTTGAGGTGGACTGGACAGTTTTCTTTCTTGTTTTTCTCAAGGGTGGCATCCCTTGGCAGTATAGAGAGGCTTTTTCTTTTGTTTAGTGTGTGAGAACGGTGTAAGTGAGAAAAAAAGTAAAGAACGGTGTAAGTGTGTGTACTTGTTTCTCCCAATTTTTATAGTGGATTTCTAGGTATGGCATGACTCCATGTTTTTTTCCCGATTTTGGATTTTTCTACGTAAATCCTGGTGTCCTTTACTTTCCATTGCATTCTATTTTTTCTTGTTTGTTTCGTTGTGTAGTTTACTTTCACATCCCCAACATTTCTCACATACTTCAAAGAACGGTACAAAAAAGTTGACCCATGAAATAGACGATTGGAAGACTAATTAGCATTTGGCAAAAGAATCACACTATTTAAAATTAAATAATTGAGAAAGAATCCTTGCCAATCATTTTGAACAATAAAATGAGTCCAGATAAAACAGGATGAAAAGGAAGTTCATATACAAAATGTATTCATATTACCTTAAATAACTCAACACTGAGCCAGTCAAGTTGTCAGAAATTGAATTTAAGCAAAATACGTTTATTTTAACTCGTATGATATTTGGAAACATGACACTTCATTCATATTCTCCATTAATAACTATAATGCATGTGGTTGGTTCAATATCCTAGGCATTTGAACTTTTTTCACAAGCTAAATATTTTTTCATGTAATCCACTAGGAAGGGCATTTCATTAATAAATAACAGAAATGGGGCATGCCTGTCCTGAGCGGAAAAATAGCTTGGTGTAACCAACTTGATACATCTGTGGTAGAATTTTGAACTGATGCAGAATGGAGATGGAAACACTAAGTGGATCCTGAAAATCTATGTTGTCCAAAAGAAGGAAGCCATACCTGAAAGGAAGAGTGTTAAACCTCGACAGTTGTCATCCACATAACAAAGTTAGATTAAAAGAAGTTTTTGGGGAGAAACGGGGATGGAAAAGTTACCTCTCTGCAAATTGCTGATGTGTAATTCGAGTGGGATAGCCTGATCTGGATATCTTTACAACTTCTAATACTCCACAGCATCTAAGTTGTTCTAAGACAACATCATTATCAAACATGCCAGGAAGTTGCTTCCTATTTGGTTTAATGCATCTAATGAAATGAGGAGTTGTATTCTCCAAACGCTGCATCAGTCTAAACAATTGAGCCTGTAGGCATGCCAAAAATTAATGGTCAATGACAATAATTTCACAGTATTCAAATTAAGGAAAAAAAATTCAAATTCAGCTGCTTAAACAACTTTGAAGTTAAGTGCAACGAGTATCAACGTATAAATTAAGGATTCAATCAACGGGTATCAACTTATTGCCAAGGGCTGGGTAGACATAGTTCCCCAGCCCATGCGTTCTGTCAGCACTTCTTGTACCAAAATTATGATTCTTTCATACAAACTTGCAAGGAAACTGACCACAAGTTGGTTTTGGTAATTGTTGATCCGGAGTAGCATAAACCACCAGCAACCATCTAAGATCCAATTCCACAATAGCAAATCAGATTAACCTGAAGCCACTCCCAGTCAAGAAGAATGATGCAGAGCGTCGGTCTGGTTTGATAAGCCAAACCCCACCTTTTTAAAATTTTTTGTTTTTATTATATAAACATGTTGTTCTTTATTTCTTTCATTAGCATTATCGTTAATTTATTTTATTCCCTTATTTACTAGTTGAAAGCTTATAAATAGAGGGTCCTTAACCTTGAAATTCATATTTTGGTGTTTAGGAAAGGAGAGATTATTACGAGCGGATTCTGGACGTGTCAGGAGGCCAATCCAGATGCGATGTCAACTAATGCACTGTGTATTAGGTGATGTGGTACATCAGGATTGGCCTCTGGATGCATCCGAACACCACACGTAATATTTTTTCTTAGGAAAGAGCCATAGCTCTCGTTCTCTGTATTCTGGAGATCTCCATGTGGTGGCCAACCATCCTTCCTCTTCCTCCGCCCATCAATCTTCCAGCCAGAGGCTGGTTCCCCTGTCCTTCCTCCCTCTCCTAGGTTCCAGCCAGCCAAACACCCGTACTTCTTCCTCCTATCCGTAGGACTGCAGCTCTATCTCTAGAATTGTCTCTTTCAGCCAGCTAACTGACCGCACGTCTTCTTCCTCCTCTCTGCCGCCCTGCTGTCCTGCTGCTAGAAGGTTTCTTTCCAGCAAACTGGCCCTCTTCTCTTCCTGTTTTTAGCTCGTATCTCTGGTATCACAAAAACTTTGGATTGGAAGTGGGATGGGGTTTACTATCATGGAAAATATCTTTTCATGAGAGAGAAAAAAAAAAGATGCTTTTAACATATGGTACATATTTGCAAAATAAAGCTGCAACAGATGATTAAGTAGATGACAATGGAACAGAGAAGCAATATGCACATAAAACTTACCTTGAACTTTGTTCCCACACTTTGCTTCTGGGAATCAACACCATTTAACCACAGAGGGCTGGTAGACCTTTGAGATTGATTAAGCATGTGGGAAGTAAATGTTCGAAGGAGTTGACAGCTGCATGATTGAAGCAGCTGAACTAAGTCTGAGTAAAGTGGATCTCTGTTCTTCTCCAAGAAGCCACTTGTGTCATACACAACCTGATACACTTAAGTGCTAGTCATATCAATAAATCAGCTGTTTTCTCCCTTCAGTTTTAAAAAATAAAAAGCAATTCCCAAATGGCAAAATTTCAATGTAGGAATCAGATTTTCCCTGATCTCCTTAAAGAATCTACTCCATACTCTATTAATTATTACTAACGTAACCGAAAGACTTTTTTATAGCAAGCATGCTCAGTCAAGAAAAGTTATTAACAACAGAAGTGATACTAAAACCTTAAGTGTCGCATTAAATCAACTAAGTGCATCAGAAATATATAAGTACCATTACTAGAAAAACAAAAACATTTAAGGATTTGTTTTTTTAAATATAATTAATCATATAATACTTCCAAAAAATTCCCAAAGGACAATGGCTGTTGTCACACAAATGAAGAATAATACTATTAATCAGATTCAAGATCATAGCAGTGTAGCTAACCTCGCCAGCATAATGGAGAATTTTAAAAGCACCATCCATCCCCAATTTAAAGCATGGATTACTGCTCAAATGTTTCTGAAGCTTGATTGCCAAAGTTAAATCAGTTGCTTTGGCAAAGTTCGACTCTTCATCCAACAAAGACAATATCCCCAGAGGCTTCTGCTTGAATATACAACAAAATCCATTATCAAGAAGGAAACAATAAGCTGACCAAGACATACGTCTAACCAGCAAACAGTCCAGCTAACAAAAGGCCGGAACTCAATATGAAGCAGCAATCCAAGATGCAAAGGACATGACCAAAGTTCTAAATAATATCACACTACTAAAAAAAAAAAAAGAAATCACACTAACAAAAATAAATAAAAAATAAAAAATAAAAAACCCAATAAAAAGAGAAAAATAAATAAAAAAAAATGATATTTCAAAAAAAAATCCCTTCACTTCGTCATCATCTTCAACGTCTTATGCACCACAGTGATGCATTTAGCATGACAAGCAACACCTGTGTGCCTTTTTATCATGACAAGGGAGACGCTATGTATGCTTTTCTAGGCATGGTGAGGAAATTCAAAGTTAAGTACTCATATGCATTATTTCAACATGGTACAAAAATATTGCAAGTTTCAAACAAGCATACGAAGGCCTTTGCATGCGTTTTTTATGCACACAGTGAGATAGAATATCCCTCGGCTGTAATGTCTTATGACATCAATCCTGTACACCTTAGTGGCATGGTGGGCAAGCCTAAACTCCTTGTATATTCCTCTTATAAAAGAGAGACACTGCGAGCGGGCCGAAATTTAGAATGAACTTATGAGAAACCATACATTAAATAACTTTTTTAGCAATATGTGACCAAATGAAATAACAAAATGCAAGTACAAAATTTGAACATCCTAAATATCATATAAGCTAGCTTGAACCTATAGTTGAACACAAACAGGGAACTTACAAAGGACTCTATAACTTGCAAAATCTCTATAATTCTAGTAGCAAATTAGAGACCCAAGTGAATGCAAAATGAATTACAACATCCCTCCTATTTATAGGAAGAAGGGAAAGGGATTCCTTGTGATGGCCCACTACACAAAAATGCAAATGTGAAAAGACAAAGATTAAGGGGCTGTTTGGTTGCCTGAAAAAGAAATGCAGTGTAAAGTAAATGCAATGTAAAGTAAATGTAGTGCATTCTGAATACTTTGCATCTGTTTGGTTGTCTGCAAAATAAACGCAGAAGAACTGTTTCCCTTATTTGATTTGATAGATCCAAAGTAAAGTAAAAGCAGTTTTTTTATAATAATTTATTCTAGCATTACAATTAGTATATTTTAAAAAATAATATATTTATAATAATTGGTATTATTTGATGTTATAAAATATAAATCAGTATATTCATTTATTGTACGATCTTATTATAAATTTTTTTAGATTATAAGCATTACTAATCTGTCTGAAACCCCACAAGCCAAAGAAGAACTGCCTTGCAAAATCCCAGAACTTGTCATCGGATTCCCTCTTCGTCTTGATAGACTTCCTTGGCATTGGCCGGCCATCCGGCCCCGGCACATGCGGCAAAGCCTTCCAGAGCTTGCGATCTTCCCACCGGTAAGGATGCTCGTTTTCCTTGAGCTCCATCTCGTTGATCTTATCAGCTATTACCTCCGCCCGCCTAAGGAACTTGACCACAGGGTTCTTTTTGAACTCCTCCCACCACTTCAAGTTCTCTTGGATCTTCTCTGGAGTCAGGTTCTCTGGCTTCTCGAAGAATGGATCATCGGCGAGAATACGCTCCACCGCGAAAGTGTGCCGGTAGTCTGGGCGGTGCTCACATTCCCAGTAGAATTGCTCAAGCATCTGTGAAAACATACCAGGCTTGTCCTTATTGGAAGTATCAACGTCGATAATTCCTTCAGTAGAGGAGGAGGTAAGATTAGGATTTTCATGATTCTCTGCTTTCTGGATAGCGAGGTTTCTGCTACTGATGCAGGCGAAACTGGGAGGTAATGCGAGCAATGAAACCGAACAGGAAGATGATGCGAACTTGCGAGCTCCCGTCGTCGTCGCAACTTCGGATCGGACAGGCAAAGGATCGTCGCGTCGAAGGAGCGAAGTCTAATAAGAAGGAAGGAGCCGAAGAAGCCACTCGTGCAATCTTACATCTCCTTTGAAGCAATGAAGCCGAAGTTCGCTGCCGAACAGCAACGACGCGTCGTCGAGCGTATTTAAAACCCGCTCAAAATGAGCGTGCTTCTAATTCATGCAAAACAGGTCCTATAATACACCCCTAATACTTTCGAGGATTTTCTTTTCTTCCGCTCAAAATTAACTAAACAACCAAATTTAATAAATACATGTATTTGTTTTACTTTACACTCCTAATTCAGGCAACCAAACAGCCCCTAAGAGATTTGTGAAATTCGTAATAAGATACCAACTCATAATAAATGCCACCAAATTCGCAACATGTATATGCAGGTCAACAAAAGGCATTCTTTAAAGCTTAAAAATGAAACTTTGTATTTCAATGATAAGTGTTCCAGCAAACAATCAAGATTCAAATGTTTTCAAATCACACACACATCACAATTTGACTTTCAAACTCAACCATAGTTACCTCGAGAAACCATTGCCTCAAAAAATGTGCAACTGGCCCAAGAAGCATGTAATTACTCATAGCAGCACTCCATTATTCTAAAAATGTGCGAGGATATCATATAAATGTATTGAATAGTGTGCAAATATATTAGGCAAATGCACCCAACAACATGCAACATCATATAAGAACATTAAAAAGCATGAAAGTAAATTATGCAAATGTAAGCGTGCAAGTGCATCGTATAAGTGCATCAAAAAGCATGCATGTTATCCAAAAGATACGCCAAATTGCCAAAATTGAAATACTTGCATTTACTCCAACAAATGTGAAAAACACTTAATATGAGTTCTAAGAATGTTGTGCAAACTAAACTAAAAATAAACTTAAATTTAACTCAACTCAAGAACTGTGCAAGTGCATTATATAAGTGCATTAAAAATTATGCAAGTGTATCAACAAGTGGATTAAAAATGTGCAAGGGCACCATACACATGCATAAAAAAATGTGCAAGAGCACCACAATAAAGATGTACATAAGTGTTCCAACAAACGTATCTGTGGGCTCCAAAAATTTACGCATTGGACTCTACGTAGCCCCTTTCTTTTTTGGGTCGTCGAGGAGATTTCAAACAAGTTCCGACGCAAATTTTCAAAAGGAAGATTGGGTTTTGAATAAGACATTATCCAAAGATTTCTCCCTCATTTTGCAAAGAATTTATGATTTGAGTTCAAGTTTCCTTAGGCCCTTATAGTTAATTACCCGTGTCGGTAATGAGAAAGAACTTTCAATAAAGGCTAGTCGTCAAATAGATACATAGTATATGGCGTATAGTAACATGTTTAGATATTTAAAATTTAACATTTAAAATAAAAAATTCACCACCTTGATGGTGGAGGGGTGATGATAGACCCGATCAAGATCCCATGGTTATGTTGTCTCGGGTCATCATGATCCCTAGTCTACTTAGTCAAAGGAAGTAATCGACCCCACCTGACCGAAGGATCCTTGTCGGCAGCCATAGGTTGCTTCATCCAAGAGTACCTTATAGATTTAGGATGGATGATTACTTAAGGAGATAAATTTGAAGCCACCTTAGCTAATAGAGGGCTTTGTGCCATAGCAGTCATATCCTATTGATTCATAACTCAACATTTTAATGTCGTTGAGGAACATATGGGCTCTAACCATGGCCATAATTTAATGGTGCCATTTGGCATCAAAACCATTCGGTTAGAGGGTCCTCATCATAACCGTTTATCTATTATGTCATTTGGTGATGAGACTATCGGTTAGAAGACGCGCCACGTCCATACTGGTAAGAGACAAATTAAGAATGAAACCTAGTGATATTCTGGACCATACATTTTCTCTTTGTGAGCTGAACTGATTTTCAAGCTTGTCCACCTCAGGGGAACTATTGCGGAGAGTTGAATGAGTATTTTGCTTCAGTGACAGATAAGATTAGAGAGATTCTCCTTAGATGGTTTGGTCATGTAAAACGACGCTCTTCCGATAACCCTATTAGGAGAGTAGATGTATTAGATTTGGCCCATGTTAAGAAATGTAGAGGTAGACCTAAAAAGACTTGGTTAGAAAATATTAGAAATGACTTTTTTTTATTAGATTTAAATGAGAATTTGATTCATAATATGACACAATGGAGAAAAAAGGTTTCATGTAGCCAAACCCAAATAGTGGGATAAATGCTTGATGTTGTTGCTATTGTTGTTGTATATAATATTGAGATCTACAATTTATATCTTTATGATGATGAATCAAATAAACATGTTTATATTTTAATTTTTTTTTGTTATTTTTATGAATTATTTATAAATTCATGTGTTTTTTTATTTTTTATTTACTTAGAGGCGTAAGCACCTCAATTCCCAATTTTGTCTTCTAAACCATGAGTAAAAAGTCGTGGTTAGGTTCATGATTATGATGATGATGCTCTAACATCGGATACCCAATAACAATGACAACCATTCAGCATGAACTAGTAAACAATAATCTCAGGATAAATTAACCGATAAGTTCATTTCTACACTTTCATATTTGGAGTGGAAAACATACCTTCTCAAAAAGATTCAGACATTCGGTGTTGTCAATGAAATCAATATTGTTCCAGTCAATGCCATCTTGAGTATATTCCTACAACAAACAAGAAGGGGCATAATTCTTCCTTCAGACCAGATTATGCATGCTTAAACACAAAGCAACAGTATCCTGCAGAAAGCTTAGATAATATTATATCTTACCATTTACAGTGTTTATATGAAACATCTCCTGATTTTCAGCAAAAAGTGCAGCAAGAAAACAAGAAATATACAGAGAACCAGAACATTAAGGTTGTAAATGTAAAATCTACCTTCGATCAGGCATGTGCCAACTTTGACTCAATTTGAAAATCCTCAAAATCTAAGGTTTCATGAATTCAACAAATTATATGTCATTGCGTTCTACCCGTTAATTGGAGCAATTTGATATATAGCATCATATACCTAAATGTTAAGGATTTGAGAGTTTGGGAATTAAATCTAAATTGTATTTTTTTTTTCTAAGTTTAGAAATACTGTTACTGTTCAAAAATAAAAATCATTGTAGCTAAGGGCAAAATGTGTACTGGTGGCCGACATGCAATGAAGTGGAGGGATTATTAAATGAATTATCTTGCTCTAGCCTTTTATTTAATTCCTTCCCAAGCCCGGCTAAGGGCTGGTGGGAGCTCTCGGTTTTCTCTTGCAGCAGCTAATGGTTGAGCCGGTTTTGGGAGCTGGTTGGAAGTGAAGAGGATGGGGAAGGAGCTGGAGCCATGGTGGTCGGGATCTTGGTGTAGCCGTGGGAGGTAAGTGGTTGGGAAGGGTTCTTGCACAAGTTTTGGGTGATAAAAGGTGCTATGGACTAGAATTAAATGCTGCTGGAGGACTGTTTAAGGATGTTTGCTGTTAGAATTTTGGGTATAGGTTTGAGAGTGGGAAAAGATTAGGTAAAGGAGAATGAAACCAAGAAGAGGAGAATAATAGTAAAGGTAACAGAAAGAGAAGTTATGGAAAAGCAAGAAAGAAGAAATAGAGAAAAGAGGAGAGAAAAAAAAGGGCAAGAAGTTTGTTATGTGCCGATATGAAAAATTTGTATGATTTGTGTATTTAACATTTCTAATTTAAGAGTGCTAAGAGATTGATTAGGACATTCGTAGTGTGAGGAGAATTGGTGCCGATAGCCATATATGTGACCTGATTATTGTGATTATTGTGAATTGATTTAATTATATAATATGGATAGCAAATTGTACGAATTTTCAATATAGACAGTTTACGGTGGTGTAGATATCCTATAGGTGCAAGTGGACGCGAGGTGTCCGACTTGGTGAGTCAGAACAACGAGGAGGTAAGACATGCATCGTTATACCGTATGCAACTATGAATGTACATATAGTTAACTTAGTGTGTGTGTGACATTTACCCTTGGAATCTTATGTGGTCGTGACTATTAATTTGAACCGTGGTTCATACAACCATTGTACACGTCATTCTTCGTGATCTATGAGTATGTTATATATGCTACTACGTGGAGTTATATAAAATTATGATATATAAATTATATAGCTATACTTGCTTATATATTGATACATTGAGACAAATTTCATGCATACTTAGTTATATACACGTATACATGTAAATATATACATAAGTATTATATATTAGGTTGTCCTCAGAGGAGAGGAAATAACCATGATTAAATAAGTTAAGAAAATGTCATGTTAAAAATACGCAGGTGGGGTAATGCGACCCAGTAGAGGCAATGTGACCTCAGTACAATGCAACCTACGGGCTATGAAACCTACATTTGGTAGAGCCTAAGGGCTAAAGAGGCAGTGCAACCTTGGGCGCCTATGGGCTGAAAAACCTAAATATAGACATGACATTTTCTGGGGTTGAAAAGGAAGTAATCAAATGAACGAAAATCTATAGCTGTGACTATATATTTTAATAGTATGACTTACATATTACATATAGCTACAACTAGATTAAAGCGATACTATTAATGTTATACAATAGGTAAGTGAATGTGTAATTCAGACAAGTACCAGCCTTACTGTTACAGGGTAGGAATTATACCCTGTATATTAATTTATATTACTTATACTGTAAACTTTGGTGGCCTACACACGTTTTTTTTAGTTTTACATGCTCATGTTGATTTATCTGTTGATCCTCATATTCATAAGTGAATTCTTACACTTTATTATTGTAGTAGAGTTGCATATATTTATGAGTGTTATAGCTCATCAAATTATTATTCTAGTTGTTATTACAAGAAATGAAAAGAATAAAGTCGAGCCAAAATAATGATTGGTTCAATTTTTATTTCATGTTTATCTTTGTCTTTGTGAGCAGGGTCTGATATGAGGTCAGTATTATGTTCATAGCTATATATTTTGGGTTCCCCTGTAGTTGCTCTATAGGGAAAAATTTTTGGAAATAAAATTTGAGCAGCTTCAAGTTATGATATTTTTCTATGCTTCATTCAAATGTCATGATTATTATTTTTTAAAAAAATGTTAAATTAATGCAACAGAGGGGTGTGACAGTAAATTTAACTCAAATAAAAATAATAATAATAACCTAAATACCCCTTCTCTCCCTCCATAAAGCCTCTCCACCACTTTCCCTCACTAACCCTCTTTTTCTCAATCTAATCATCCCCATTTCACAAAATAATAATGGTAATAATATGTGTATCTACATATATATATATATATAACTAAATAAATAATACAAAAGAATTTCATTCATCGCAAGTGTCGTCGGCATCACCTCCTCAGTCGCCGCGCACTTTTAGGTATAAACCAGACTTGACACTGTTATTTTATGAATTGCAGCGCATGAAACTAAGTACTTGTAACTAGCAGTGTAAATGAGTCGAGTCGAACCATGTAGTGGCCTTATCGAGCTCGGCTTGTCAGTCAGAATGTCAGCTCGAACTCGAGCACAAAAGGTGAGCTCAAACTCGAGCTCGTCCCATTGTAAAGGAGCTTGAGCTGCCTCACAAGTCATGGGTGGGATTTTTAAAACTTAGGAGGCATAAAAAAAGCTACAATGTTTAGCATTTATTATTCATTTTTTAATATTTAAATTTAATAAATAAAAAAACGTTTAAAATATATTAATAGTTATTCGAGCTAGCTCGCAAGCTCATGAGCCAAGCCTCATCAAGCTCAAACAGGAGATCATTTACTAAACGAGCTCAAGTTTAAGCTCGAGCTTGACTTGTGAGCTCGATAAACTCGACTCGCGAGCCTATAAAAGAATCGAGCTCGAGCCGACTCGGCTCACTTACACCCTACCTGTAACTGCCTTTTTTGGCAGGCGGAGAAATACTATTTTACATGAAACAAAGTACCCGTAACTGTCTTTCTTGACATGCGGAGAAATACTGCTTTGAATAAAACTAAGTACCCGTTACTGCATTTCTTGACAGATGGAGAAATATTGCTTTGCATGAAATTATGTAGTCATGACTATCTTTCTTGGCAGACTGGAAATACTACTTTACATGAAATTAAGTGCCCGTGACTGCATTACTTGGCAAGCGGGAAAATAATGTTTTGTATGTAAAATTTGAAGTAGCTATGACTACCTTTCTTGGCAGACGAGAAAAGAATGTTGCTTATATAAGGGTACTTGGAGACCTTGACTATCTTTCTTATAGACAAGGATTTGAAATTTTGGCTGCGGTGTTACCCGGCACTGATCATGCATGTCTTTCTTAGCTCTGTGGGAAGGCTTAACACACCCCCTACGTGGGGATGATATTGAGGTGCAGCCAAAATTTACACCAAAATAAAAGAAGACTTAAACTAAATTTATGAAAACTAAAACCTAATCTAACATTTAAGTCAACAAGAAATAAAAAAATGCACGAAATCCTAAGTTGCAAACATTGAAAAGTAAAAATGAATGAAAACCAAAATACAACAAAATAGGACTTATAGTGCACTTGTATAAAAATTGGTTGCTCGTCGACAAGCATGAACGTAAACTAAAACTTCCCCCTTTTGCTCCTAACTCACTCGTGAGCACTCAAATTCCTCAGCAACGCCCTCTCCATACAAGCTGAAACGTATGAAAATGAACTAAGTCAAGTGGGCTCAATTATCGAATGAATGCTGAACGAATGCTCTATGATCGAGAGAATCAATCTGGGCCATCCAATAGAGCACTCCAAATTTATCTTGCATCTTCTACATAATTACAAAGCGTGCCACTCTCAAATTCTATAAATAGACTCTCGCTTTCTACATTATGGAAAACTTTGACTGGAGATTGGAGAGAGCTTGAGGCTTCTAGAACTCCATTGCATGCAAACTTCCGTCAATTGACCACCGTTGAACCTCCGTTCGGTCGCCGACTTTAGCCCGACCTCTACTTACCCATCGACCTCGACCGGAACTCCTCCCCGACGTCAACCACCATCGTACCTCTGACCGATCGATGTTGAATCTCCGCCCGACTGTCTACCATCGCCGGACCTCATTCGGGCAACCACAGACCGACGTTGGACCTCTATAAGGCTATTGCTATCAAACTTCCAACCTTCGTCGTGCAACCATAATCATTACAAACTCCCAAGTACCTATATGAAGTTCGACCGACTCTCAAACTATTATAATTTCACTGTTTCCAAGTTAAGGGACGGTTCAACATTCGTAACTCACTCAAGTATAAAGGAATCTTCTCACCTAGGCAAGGCTATGTGGTTTTTCCCTTTATGAGTTTTTCTATGTAAAAAAATTTCAGGTGTTCCCTTTCTCTTAACTATCTGTTTGTGTGCTCAATTTGTTTGTATGTTGGATATTTGTGAATCGCTAAGACGAAAAAACTCTATCACTCTACCGCCGCAAATTTATCAGCCTGCAACAATAATTATAATAAAAAAAATTATAGCTTTGTATGAATCTTAAATGCTACATGTCTCTTTAGGAATCATAAATGCTTTAGATATAGCCAGATGGTTGTGCTTCAGCCAGAACAAACCCAGAAAACTAACAGAGGCAAATTTATGGCCCTTAAAGGTGCAGCAAGGAGTACAGAGAACCACAATCAATTAGACTCGTAAGAGTTCAAGGTGTTAATCCGATCCGTTGAAAGCAAAAAAGATTGTGGTTACAAGAAACTGCATAACAGTACCAAGAGAGTTTCAGCTACAACACTTAAATGTATTGTGGGCCAGAACAAACCCAGAAAACTAACAGAGGCAAATTTATGGCCCTTAAAGGTGCAGCAAGGAGTACAGAGAACCACAATCAATTAGACTCGTAAGAGTTCAAGGTGTTAATCCGATCCGTTGAAAGCAAAAAAGATTGTGGTTACAAGAAACTGCATAACAGTACCAAGAGAGTTTCAGTTCAGAGGTCAACATGTATGAAATTGACCAACAAGATAAGACAAAATAGCACATCTAGAAGAAGGATCTCGGCAAACAAAAACGGCCATGTTTTGGTGAAACTTTCAACAAATTGGAAAAAAGTATTACTCTACAGCTTCCTACTAGTGCTGTAACTAGTACAAAACTAGTACTCGTCGTGCATTCCTAATACTAGAGTGCAACAAATACAGATAATCACCTCCTATTACCAAAGAGCCCTGACTCTAGTGGGTATATTCCTTGATTTCTAACCTAGAGGTCTTAAGCTTTATCGGGTATACTCCATGATTTCTAACTTAGCCGTCTCAGGTATCAATCTCAACAGATACAGTCATGATGAATGTTTACAAATCCAAAGTAGATTTAATAACTAGATTTTATCTTATGCTCAACTTATATATGTACTTGGCTTGGGTCCAACTTATATTTATACTAGCTTTGCATCCACTTGATGAAAATATGAGATACATTTCTATCTTTTATAAAAAAAAAAGTGCTCACCTCCTGCTCAAGCTTAAAAAGATGCCGATTGAAGTACTGCTGCAGCCGTTCGTTAGTGTAATTAATACAAAATTGTTCAAAATGGTTGCTCTGCAATAAAATATAAGCCTTAGAAGCAAGTTTTATTAAAAATGGAAAAGTATAGGATCATCAAGAGATTAACAGATATCACATACGTCAAATGATTCAAACCCATAAATATCTAGAATACTAATGGATCTTCCATCACGCCTTTTCCCATCTTCAAGTGAGATATTGATTTGGTCAACCAGCCACTCAAACAAGCTATCATAAATTGATTTTGCTAATGCATCACGAGTGTCCATGGCCTGCAGAAAAATATTATACAAATATAAACTTACCGACAATATGAGTTTGAAAAGAAAAAAGGAAGATTGACCCTTCAAATGTCAAAGTTCTTCACACGTTGGTTTCAGAAAACGATAATGAACATTTTTTTCTTGCATAACCGATAAAAAAAACCTGTTGTAATGTCAATCTTTGGACAATGCTATCAACCCCCGCTTGAATCGTGCGAGTTGATAAAGCTAGCATGAGTTGATCAACTTCACAGCCCATCAACTTAGCTGCGTTTTTTACACCTGCGAGGAACTTGTAATTGTAAATACTATATTATGTCCAAAATCTAAGCACAGAAGCATCGGTAAACAAATCATAAGGAGAAATATCAAACGTAGAATCATAGAGATAATCCTTAAACGTTAATAAATGATAATGCACATTTAAACGCTTGCCCCTTACTAGAACCATCATTGAAAGCAAGGCTAGGAGATCATCCTTAAATTTTAAAAAATGATAATCTATATAAAACCGCTTACACTTTCTAATTGTGACCAGAACCAGGATTGAGAACTAGTTGATCAGACCCAAGAAAAAAAAGACATTTTTAAAACTACTCGTGAGTATTGATCAAAATCAACCTAGGCTATATATTTGACATAATATTAATTGCAATGAGTCTATAGGGGTTCTTTTCATAATTAAATTCTGAGAAAAAAACTCAAAATAATCCCTGATTATTAGTAAGCACCCAATTTAACTCAAAGTTTCGCATTCCCCAATTTAATCCCTCAACAATTAAAAATTAATTCAATTTGGTTCCTATGTCAGAAAATCATATTGATTCAATAATCATATGAATGTTACTGCTAATGATTTGATCGTTGACATGCTTATTGTTTCTTTACTGTGATTTAAGTCAGTCGTAGAATTGGATGATCTACTGAGCTTTTTTAGCTTATTATATGTGGTTAAATAATTTCATGTCAGGAAAAAGCAGGAGTGTGAGATTGATCAGGATTCCTCAAGTATTGTTCATTTTTGTTTTAGTTATTCTTTTGTACTCGGGACTGGATAGATATGGCGTAATTATAATTCCTAAGTATTATAAATGATTTTGGATAAATGAATGTCGTTGTATAGTGATGTTTTGAATTCTAGAATTTGTTTCTGTTACTTAATACTAATAGATGAAATTAGATAATTCTGATATTGTTATTAAAATATAAAAGAAATAATTCTTTTAAATTATATTATAGGGTGTAACGGGTAGTGCCTAAAACTTAAGTCTAACAGAGTGTAAGGGATTTACAAATTATACCTTACATGAGGCATAATCAGCCCGACCTCTGAATTTATTGTCTTGCTTGGAAAGGGCTACTAGCTGAACTCACCTAATTGCTTTTAAAATCATGTAGTTAGGTCTCAATGCATATGAAGAGTAGGGAAAATCTATTTTTTTATTTAGAAGATGAGACTTACAACTTGGATTTTAGATCAAGATGTCTGACCATGTGGGTATGCACAATATTATCACCAAAATATAAATAGTTGTTATATGGTCCTTAAATGAAGGATTTCTACATGCGACACACTGGTCATACATGATCATTTTAACTTTTTGGAAAACTTAGCTACTTGAAAGGAGCTATGCAAAAATTTTTTTATTTAAAAAAGATAATTCATATGATTGATTTTATATTAATTATATTTTAATTGGTAGGAAAATTAGCTTTATCCTAAAAGACTACTGCATAACACAAGTCCAGGCCTCCCCAAACAAAACAAGAGAAGAAACTTAGGAAAAAACATACATTTCTAATGCACACTCAATAAACAATCAAAACATGCTTGTATGTATAAAATCAACCAGAAACAGGAATGTAAATTGTAAATTCCAAATTATTACAATCATTGTTGTCAACTAAATTGCCTGTATTATATAAACCAGTCAAATATTTTACAAACTCTACTTATGGGATCTTCAAGCTTTGATTTCTAGGCGAGTCTTGGGCTTCACCTATGTAGGCTCATCCTTCTAATCCAACTCTCTTATAATTGTATCCCACGGGCTTATACATCCTAAGTCTAACAAATAAATTCTTAAAATGTCAAAAGACTCAATCCTGCAAAACAGAGAAAGTATTAAGAGCAATTCATATATAGAATAATCATCACATAATTTCCTAGCACTTAAAGTGTCATGCCTCCTTAGGGGGCTTAAGCAGCACCTGTAAGCAAGCATTTTTATTATGATTTATTTACCTCCTATTGGATATGGCCACCTGCAGAAAAGCCATATATCTCTACCATATCCACTTAAGGGCAAGTGCCCACAACACTGACAATTCAGTGACATCACACCACATCAACAAACACATGGTAGAAAAAAAAATTCTAATCATAGCATGCCTATAGACTATACATCTAAGTATATACCGGCTGTGTGGTATGTCACTACAATCAATATTTTGTTTTATTGAGAAATGAAGATATTTAATCTTAAACCAAAGGAGATTTTGCTTTAAGTTGTTTGTGACTTAAAGATTTTATTTGGCTTTTGATTATTTCATATTTAGGAGGGTTATGAATAACCCATAAAGCAACCACTACTTGTTTTGAGGCAAACCTGCTACTTATGAAATTCTAAGATATAATGATGTAAGCATCTCGCCTTTTAGGTGAGATGATTAATTATTGAATCAAAGAGACCTAGGTGATTTTTAATGATTTTGATGTTCTCTTAATATTTGGATAAGAAAGGGAAATGTCTACTTAATAGAGTAAGGTAGACATGTCAAAGGATTCGACTTAGTACTTTGTGAAATTCATCTAATAGGATAAGATAAACTTCAACAGATGGACAGCTCATAAAGGACATCTAAAGGGTATGTTTTAGTTGCCATAGGAGGATAAGATCATTTATTTTAGTTAAATGAAAATGTTACTTATAGTTCGGGTCTATGTAAAGAGATCATCTACTTGATTAGGGATCAAATAGATAGAAATGAACGACCCCAAAACTTTGGAGCAAAGGAGTTGAGAATTATCTTTAACCTTTGGAGTTAAAGAGAGGAAAATCCCCTCCATTTTCAGTCGTCCACTCCCCTTGCCCGAAATGCCTTCAATAGTGGTTGGTCGCCCTACCACCTCCACCACAAAATTCCCTCATTATTGTCCCCCCATCCAGAAACCCCGATTGACACCTGATTAGAGCCCTAAGAGGTGGCTCTTGATGAAAGAAACTATCCATGTTGAACTTCTCCCATCTGATCTCATTTCCCTTAGATTTAGCCATAAGAATCCCGATTTAGGTTATGGTCAGTAATTAGAACTGCCGGTGAACTTTAGGATTGCATCTCAATGAGCTTCTTCATCTTTTTCTCCATCCCTCCCAATCGGCTCTCCATGGTTGTAAACCTTTCTTCCATGGTTGAGAAATTTTCCTCCATATAGTATTTGATTTGCTCCACTTTGTCATCCAAAGCTTCCACCTTCTTTGCTGTCATCTCTCCAAATCTCGTTCTAACACCAATTTGATATGTCTTGGAAGTAAAAACAGCGAAAGAAACAAGTAGAAACTACATAAATAAGAAGCTAGGGGCTGATTTTTTATTATCTATTCAATAAAAAAGAAAGATACAAGTGATCTACTATTCAAGAGGTAGATCGGCTCTTCCACAAACCCTAAACGCTGCTAGGAATAACTCCTAAGAAAACTACAGCAAACATAAATCACATAATGAAAATAAAATAGCCTAATTGCCCTTAAATAAACCATCATATTTCCCTCCCAAATTTGAATTCAAATCAACCATTTTTCCTTTAATAAAACCTTCCTAATTCCCTCCCAAATCTGAATTCAAATCAACCCTCTTTCGCTAAATAAAATCTTCCTAATTCATTCCAAAATCTGAATTTAAATCAGTCATCTTTCCTTAAGTAAACCTTCCTAATTTCTTCCCTAATCTAAATTCAAATCAGTCATCTTTCTCTAAATAACTTTCCTAATTTTTCTCCTATGATTTCTTCACCTTACATAGTGAATATTAACTCCCCTGGCCACCCTCCCAGGTGGGGCCCCTGGCGTATCAGATATTACGAGTCTACGATATAATGTTTGATTGGCACAAAAAGAGGATAAATTAATAGAAGTAAATATAAATTATAGATTCCTATGTTTGTTTCAATTCAAAATATGTGACTCCCAATACAACAGCAACAAGTTCTGGCAATTCCTCAATTTTTAAGCAAAACAAAATGATCAAACGAACCACTCATACTGTTTGAAGAACAAACTAATTGCAGAAACAACCCCAAAATAAACGAAAGATCTTTGTAGGAAAAACACAACTAATTCACCAGATATGAAACGTAAGGTGGTCCAAAATTAAAGGAAATATTTAGTACCATCATCAAGAATAACTTGGACATGTTTCTCATTGTCAATTACTTCAAACTTCACATTGCCTAACCACAATAGTGCTGCAATCATTGCAAATGCATTCTCCTGATCCTCCTTGCAGATTCGAACAGTGTCAAATGCTTCCTGCACAGTAAAAATCCATAACTATCAAGTATCATCACTGACATTCAAATTACTGCATAATAATGATTAGTATAACACACAAAAGGATAAATAGAATAACAATAGCATATCCAGAACATACCATCAGCACGTGAAACATCTGAGCATCATCAACTTCGGAGATACTTAAACAGTCACTTTGGTTTAAGTATTCATATTCATGCGCAGACTTCAGGTTGAACTTATCTGCAAACAACATCAGCCAATTAAAGAAATACATCACTAATTAAAAGACAGTACGAGCATAGATGAAAATTAATAAACATGTCAATTAGGACTTTGTTTGGGACGATTTTTTTATTGCTTCTTAAAACAACTTTCTAGTTTAAATATTAAAATTTTTATACTAGAAAGTTGCTTTAAGAAGCAAGTAAGAAAGCCGTCCCAAACGAAGTCTTAATGTCTCCAGACAAATCAAGTTAATATCCAGAGTTCTTCCGTATCCAAAGCCATACAGGTTCAAAGGATGGCAACAGGCAACTACGCCCAAATCCCACCCAAGAATGGGTCCACACCCCACCAACAATTTACCCAATCTATATGACCGGTGATGAAACGTTGCACGGGAATGCCATCACTAATATGCCCAAAGAAAAAATTCATGTTGAGGCTTGAGAAGAGAATTCAAGGTTCTAGCATCAGCCAGTTTTTTTTCAGGAAATTCAATCATTTGTAATTTTGACATGGTAGGAAAAGTATATCACAGAGTCATGCAACCATTACACCCATCCTTCAGAAGATGGCCCCACAGGCCCACATTAATCTAGAACAGAGAGACATGATTCAAGATTTCATTTACTCCAGTCGCAACTTGCAATGCACTTTGATAAAAAGATATGTGCAGTAACAGCCAGGTTTTTGCAGCTACCTTTAAGAACTAAGGGAGCTCCTGCACAAAGTTGGTAGAAAATGTGGTATGATCTTTCACCTATTGCACGCTGAACCACCCTAGACTGTCATACAAAATATTGAACTCTCAAAAATAATTAAACAAATAGAGAAAGGGTTGAATGTATTAGAAGTACCTTTTCAAGTAAAACTGCCCAGTAGAATCAGTATTTATGCGGCATGACAAAAAAGAAAGAAGGAAATTCAGATGATAAGCTGAAAATAAATACACAAGAAGCAGATAAAATACAAAAACAACAAATCTGAGACACAAATTTACTTACAGGTTTGAATTTTAGCCCCACAAATTCTCCCAGATGCACTAAATTGTATCTCAATTAGCTTTCCCTACATTAAATGCAGCAACAAACAACCTAGATGAATTTAACAATACATCAAACAACAGCGAATAGCAGGAGTAAGGAAACTCACAAATCTACTGGCATTGTCATTTCTTAATGTCTTGGCGTTCCCAAATGCTTCCAGAATGGAGTTTGTATGCAGAACTCTCTGTTCTATCCCACTGCAACCCCCAAGGGCAGCCAGATACTGCATCGCTATTTTTGCTGTTTCAGTTTTACCAGCTCCACTTTCACCGCTGCCACGCAAGTAATATGTTGACATCAATTAAAAGGTCACCTAGGAACCATAAAACAATGAATGGAACAAAAGGCAAGACCCGAAACTTTGTGTTCATTTCAAAGAAAGCAATATTTACCTTATTATGACAGATTGGTTTATTCCATCTGTAGGGGAAACCAAAGAAAAAACTTATTAGGAAACATGAGCATGATTACTCATATTCACATTGACTTCATTGAATAAGGCTTGAGATATAGAGCCCATACAACGAGTACACCCTTTTTATATGCTTGAAGCAAGGAGAACAATATTACTCACCTCTCATCATTTTACTGTAAGCAGCATCTGCTACAGCATAAACATGTGGGCCATCAAGAGTTTTATTCTGATAGGCTCCAAGAAAGTCACTTCCACAGATATGAACCTTTTTCAAGGGATTGACTGCAACTAAAACAGGCCCTGCTTTTGTCTGCAAAAGAAGTTGAGGGAACACAAAAGATGAGTAAGAAATCCAATAACAAAAGAAAAAAACCTATTTATAACACGGCATACATAAATCATATCATCAGCATATCTTCTCTTAAGGCTGTGGAGAACAGAGGGTTCATTCAAGTAACTGAGCTGTATAAGGTCATCTGTCCCATCAAGGATATTTGGATTCGCTGGTAACAATCTTTCAACATGAACAGTCGATATCTGAGCGAAGTAATGGTCATTAGGGCAATAGAACAAGAGCCTGAGTATTGATCCTTTGTTAAAAAAATACAAGAGATGTCTCACTTTGCCATCGGAAAGAAAAATGTTCGCAAGTTGTCCTGACAGAGATTGAACATTTCCCAGCTCCCAGCCGGTATCTGGAAAGTGACACCAAACACGAAGCTTCTGGAAGAAAAGTAGCAACATTCCAATATGCATCCGAAGTTAAGAGTGATAAACAATGGATAAAGGAAAAGCATGAAAATAATTGAACCATAAACATAAATGACAATGATGACAGGAAAAGCGCACATTCTTAAATTCAAAGTCACTTAGAGAATGGCAAATCATGGATAAAGCAAAAGCATGATAATAACTTAAGCTACTAATCAAGATTGCTATCAATTAGTTAAAAAATATGTGATAAGAAGTATATAGAACAAACAATGGGCAGAAGCATAAAATATTTATAACGGTGATTAAGTGGTTTACAAATTGTATAGTGTGAAAAAGAAACAAAACTTACAGTCTCAATATTTGATCACAAGAATAATGGCAAAGAAATAACATTATAATTAGTAGGATAACACATCCTTATGTTTAAAATAAACAATTAAAAATGATGATGGTTATGACAATGATGGTGCATAATCCAATAACAATCTCAAGATTAGGATTTTAGAACTCCTAAGAGAGAGATCTAGGACTTCAAAGGCCTGATTTTATTTCTTCAAGCCACTTTGCTCGCTGCTAGAGGGACCAACTAGTCAAGAACTGGAAGGGAAATGATAGCCTCTTGGAGGATTATCAGAGGACACTTGGCTGCAAGTAGTCACTGCAGAAGGTCAACAAGGTCTCCATGCCCTTCCTGGAGGGGTGTCGGAATCCTAACGTAGAGCCAAAAAAGACTCGATGACAATCCTGAAGAGGCATTGAAGACCTATTTTAGCACTAAAGATGGCCTATGAAGAAACCTTAGAAGAAAAGGGAGAGGAGGAAGAAACTTGATTGCTTTATTCCTAGCTCCAATAGGGGTTTAAATAGACTTACATGGTCTTAAAACTAAGAAACCAACTTCAAAACACATAACAAAGGAAACAAATAACAAGATGATTGTTATATACACAATACAATCCTCACAAACAGACCTTTTAATTTGGTTTTAAGTTCTTCCATAATAGGAAACACCACTTTGCTCTCCTTGTCATCGTCTAACTATCAAGGTTCAAGTAACTTGAGGTTCACAACATTGATAATGGAATATATTTTTATGTAAAAATGGAGGTCCAACTAGAACTCGGTGTCACCAATTGTCTTAAATATTAGGAATGGTCTATTATAACGGATAGCTTGATTTCTTGATCATCTCTTTTTACCTTTTTCTTAGATGAAAGCATGTTCAAATTCAAATCTTCCTTTTTGGAACAAGCACTTAATATGAACCTTTTCGTGATGAGCTTATTTTTGTGACCTTTTAACGTCTCCTCCACCTTATTATGGATCTTTCAAATTCCATCCAAGAATCGTTGCATTTAGAGGTGTCAACTTATGACCGGACAATCCAACATGATCTCGAATTAAAAAACTTGAAACGAGTCGACATGAATATTATGTTGGTTGAGTTCAAATCTTGTATTTCAACCCACAAAATAAATAGATCAATTCACATTCGGCTTATTCGGGCCGGGTCAACCCAAACCAAAACTAATATAATTTGGTGTATTTATATATATTTGGGTCATGTTTATCTTAGGTTGCCATAACCCATCACAACATATAAAAATAAAGTTAAATGAGTAACTTCATATTATTCAGGTCATGTTTACTCAAAACACATATAATGATGGGTTATATGGGTCATGTTAAGGCTAATTAGATTTGACTTAAGATGAGTTTGGGTCCAATGCTTTGTATTGTATAAAAAATATGGTTTTGAAAATTGGACCAGACCGGAAAGTTCACTGAGTCAACCGTGAATCAATAATATGGTCGGTTCAATTCATCATAAAAGTCGGCCTAGCATGAAACAGTTTAAACCGCTGGTTTGAACTAATCCCAATTTTTAAGAACCGGCTAATTCAATTGATATCCTATTTAAATAATTAAATAAATTAATTTAATATAAAACATTAAATGAAATATTAAATTTAACAAATTAATTTAAATATAACATATTTTTATTTTATAATGAGCACTAAATTTTTATACTAATCATTTACCAATCAAACACCAACAAAATTTACTCACATGGTCCCACCACCCCATATGAGTTGCTAACACCTGCAAACAAAAAAGCTATATAAATAAAATTAAATAAGGCTTCAAAATGATGTAAGACTAAATAACTAAGTTGAAGTTTTATACTTTAAAATACATATATTATATATTTTTAACTGGTTTTTTAAATTATTTTTTTAATAATAGGAATAATATTTATTTCTTGGTTAGTTATATTTCATTTTTTATCTTTTTTTTATTTTATTTTTAAATAGAAATTATTTAAATGTTATTTTTACCAATTTATTAATTATAAATAATATAACAAATAATTTATAGATGCAATTTTATAAAATGAATTTAGTATGTAGTTTATAGTTGTAAAATTTATCTAAATATATAACATAAATTAGCAATAATTTATATTAATAAGTTTATATGTGAACTAAATTTATTTTTAATCATAAATTTATATCAATGTATAATTATTATATTATTCTTATATCATTTATTTTTATTTAAATAATTTTAATCTATATTACATCATCCAGTTCAACCCCAATCGAACCGTTGAACCTAGAAGTTCTCTTTTTTCTGGTTCGACGTCCGATCCAACTTTCACAACCTTGATAAAAAATAGTTTAAGTAAAACATATTCAAGTGGACTCAATTTTGACATAAACTCAAACCCAACCAGTTAACTTAAGGTCCTAAATAACATCACTTGCACGAGCTAAATTTTGTATTCTTAACCATTGACAAATTTTGATATATCGACATAAAAATCCTTATCAAATGTACTTTGTAGGAAAAAAACCTATGCACAACACAAAAAGATATTTTATCATCTTGATTGAAGGCAAACTAGACATAATGAATGCTGACATCCCGTCTCTTCGAATGTTGACTATTATAGGGTCTCGTAACGACCAAACTATTATTTTGTTCATCGCCTCCATCTAACCATTGGTCTAGTGGTGAAAAGCGATGTCCCTAATACTAGAAGTCCCAGTTTGAAGTGCTTCCATGTATACTAAAAAAACAAATTTGCTACACCCTCACATGTGATAGTCTTTTAAAAAGGCTTAGTATACTTCTTATTGATGCAATTGATGATAACAAAGAGATAAATGAATACTTGTTGAAACTCCGATAATCCCCCAAGGAGTCCATTACGATGGGTACTTGAAGGGATGGGCAGAAGGTCACATTTTGGTTCACCTATTTCAAAATGCTACAGGAAGGCATCATATCACAAATTATTGCACATTCAAGTTCATTTTTTGCCCATACATATAATGCTTTAGATTTTGGAGAGTTTTAGCCACTCTAAAGTGTCTTTTCATCCTCGAAGTGTATGTCCCCCTTATCCAGGTTAAATCGTGACATCCTTTGGAACACATGAGGCTTAGTTAATCCTCGTGGTAAAAGAGTGCATTCCCATGACTATAAGCAGTCAATTTGCCTTGGACAAAAACCTTCGATGTTTCATGAAGGTCTACTGCATACAAGTACTTGTACTCCGCATGGTACATTGGCAACACCTGCATGGTCATGAATAAAGTCATAGAAATGCTTGTGCTTGAATAGACTGACATGTCACTCATTTTGTCCCGTGAAACCTTCTTATATTTAATCATCAGGTTGAAGTATTATAGGAACACCATTCATGTCATATGTTGTGCTAGCTACAACTTCGACTTAGTTTGCAAATATTATAATGGCTAATGATCTGCATGCAAGATCATATCCTTCCATAACAAATAGTGCCACCAACGTGTTACCACCTCATGCAAGACAAACAAGCAGTAATTTTTTGAGCTCCCTAAAACATCTCCAAAGGTTAGGAGACTAATAAGTCATCATGGATGAGAATGAAGCTAACAATAGCAAGACATCTATCTCTCGTACAAATGCTAGTTGAAGTTTGGGAAGGGTTGGCATTTATGTCTAAGTAATCTTCTTCTTGAACAACTGGTATGATCTCTCTTCTATTTCTCCCAACTGAAAGGGGTAGCAACAACTATAAGAGCATGCAAATGTGCAATCAATAGAGACAAATGATGTATGAACGAACAACTATACTAGCTTGCTCCCATAAAACTACGCACTTCAAAAATTTTGCACCACCTAGGCTGTCCGTGAATTACAGCTACTACTATGTTTGGATTTACCTGAATTTCTCCTCCACCCATGAAACAATCTTTAAAAAAAAATTTAGGTCCCTCCATTCACGACAAAATCTAAAAAGACAAGTTTAAATCTACCAAATTTACACTTGTTAAATTTATACTTTTAAAGATTAAGTATGAGTTTGGCATATTTTCAAAGCCTCAAAATATGGTCGCTATATAGGCTCTTCCCAGCATTTAAACTATATGACATACCGTCAACAAGGTAGATAATGGCATTTTGATGTGGGTAAGAGTGGAGTATATTATTCATCAACCACATAAATTTTGATGGCATCTTACATGATCCAAATGACATCACTCACCCTTCGTATAGATCTTGCCTTTGTTTTGATGGTTGTCATTCAAGTATACTCTTCTAGGACTTGAATCGTACTTAGATCTTATACCCATTTTAAAGCAGTGTAAGTTTGACAACAGATCAATAAACTCCTCAATCTAAGTAACAAATTTTTATTGTCGTTTTATTTACTACCTTATAATCAATGCACATCAATTTGTCATCATCAATTTTAGAACTTGACAATGCATATGGTGAATTGCTCGTTTGTATAATCACGTGCGCTCCACCAAATCAATTCCTTATTGTCATATATCATTTGATTCAACGGAGAGCATCAATACATCGTCTAATTTTGATGTGAAACTCACATGACTTTTTTTTTTTTTTTTTGTGGCAAGATCTACGTCTTGGGAAATGGAGGGACATATCTAAAAGAGTTTACTAAGTTGCTTTCCCTGGGTAGAGTCAAGCACAGAAGAAATAAAAGCAGTCTTTTTGGATCTTAGTGTCATCTCATGAAGGTGAAGTTATAAAAGCTCTAACATGCACAAAGCATATTTTAAACTTGCCCATCAAAGACTAAATCAAAAGAGGAGACCAACACTCCATTGAGTTTGACAGGCCAAGGAAATCAAACATTAATATGGTCCTCACAATCTGATATCAAAATATATGAAAGATAAGCATGAGCTGTACTATGCAAAAAATCTTAAGTGAAGTATATATAGGAAGTTAACTTCCAAAAATAAGAATCTGGTATCATCCCTTCAACGAATTGGAATGGCACCACCTGAGTTGAGGTGCTTCTATGGTCAGGGCGTAAGCAAAGTTGAACCAATTCATGGAAAGAGTATAATATTACAAAGAATCCGATCAGAGTTATGTTAACCTTTTTCAAGACAAAATTCATATTCTGTCCGCTCTCTCCTGACCTTAAGTTCGCGTTAAACCTGACAGCTGAATCTGAAAGTGCCGCTGAAGAATGGAAGACATCATCTTCTTCCGACCTTTCCTCGTAACTCTCTAATTCCGGCAACTTAGCGTACGGAGATTCCTCCTGCACCACCTTCGCGTTCTGCCCAAAGATTCCACAATTCAATACTGCCTCTGTTTCTTCAGTCTCCTTCTCTTGACTCCATGCCAGGGTTCCCGACATGGCATTTTCTACCTTGAAGTTGACCGGAAGCGACCTTCTCGCAGATGGCAGTCGCCCTCTAGACGTAGGCCGGCTCGGTAACGCCGGGGGCACATCCTTCGGCTTCTCATCTCTCCGCTGCAGAGACTCAAGCATCTCTTCAAGCGAACTTCGAACAACCATGTCTGCAGGATTCCTCATCCAATCAAGCCTCAGCAATTGCCGATCTTCCTCCAGAAAAATTGCTCAAGAGACGAATAGAAGAACATCTGCTTCTTCCGATTTATTATAACTTAAAGTGAATATCCAAATTGTTGATAGCCGTGAAAATATCGCTTTAGCAGTTAATATTGGAACGTCATGGCTGCCGGAGAATCAGAAAATGATTGTATTTCCGTTGCGAGTAAAAACAAAACCGAACCCTAGTTCCCGCCGGCCGTTAAGGGAGTTATGGAATGCAATAAACACCACAACCAAAGATTCGCAGGTCTTGTTTCGACAAAATTCAAAAAATTTCCTGAGTGAGGGAAACTATCGATGAAAATACGAATCCCAGACGGGAAAGACGGGAATCAAGGAAACTGGACGAAGACGTAACGGAGATTACAATACACGTCATGGGATCCAAATGGAGGCAGTTCTTTAATCTTTTTAGAGTTAGTGGCTCCGCATTTTGGATTTACGCTATCGAAATTATATTTTCCTGAGCATAAAGGTGTTTTATCTCCAGTGGAACGTGCTAAAATAAACACGAGTTTTTTTCTTTTTTTATTTACAAGAATATGCTCACTTAATTTATATTATAAAGAGTTTAAGATTTTTAAATTTATATTGAGATTAATAAATTTATTAATTATTATATAATACATTGTACATTAAAAAAATTCATAAATTTATGAAATGTCGTTTTTTTAAGGATTAAAATAAGCCTTTAATTTTGAATATTATATTGTACTTAAATTTCATGTTTTTAATGATCTAAAAGAATCATTTCATTTAGAATAATGTGTCATATGTCTTTATTAAAAATAGACACAGAAGAAACACAGCAATAAAGTTATTAAACCATTGGAGTATTTAATAAAATAATTAATCAATCTTTTTTTATTAAAAAATTAAAATTCATTTCAATGCTTAATATTGTATATTATGAAGACATAATATTGCAAGTGCTTATTAGTAGTGGTTTGGTGGAGTATACATGGGGGGCCATGGTGTCACGTTCGAAGATTTAAATTTAAAAAATTGTATCTTTAATATATTCTTAATTAAAAATAAAAGCTACTAATTTCAATTGAAAATAAAATAACAAACAAAAGATCTATTCATCAAAATATCCATATACAATTATATTTTTTTTTTCTAAAAATCATTACAATAATCAGAAGTTTAATGAGTTGCATCTATTGCCTACCATGACTTCTGGTAACAAAGAAAACAAAAAATTAAAACTAACCCTAAAAAATCAAACTCTGATCAACTTCACAGCACTGGATTATTGTCTGATCATCAAAATCAATTAAATCCACATAATGAGCTATAATACCAAGTAGATAACTAAAACCTACAATTGCACTCAAAGCACGAAAAAAGAACAGCATGCATGTAATCATTCATATCATAACGGTAGCACTTGAATCTATGTAGAAATAGTAAAATACATGCGATAATAGTAACCCTATAAAATCGATAAAATAATACATTATGGATGTCAAAAAAAGTAAATTTGTAAACCATCATTCTTAAACCAAGCGTTATACAGTATTACTTCAAACAATAAGGACATCGCATGAATTAATAAAGCTAACGTGTTTATGAAAGATGTTCTAAATTCTAGTGATTTGATCATATTACCCTATATCCAACAAAAATAATAAAATTATAGTGATTTGATCATATGACCTATATCCAAAACAGTGAGCCAACATAAACTATCAACTATATAGATACATGAGTGCTTAAAACAAACTATAAAGATTCTTTAAGAGGTTACAATATAGTACATAGAGCTAGAAGAAGAGAAAAAGCATGAACAAAGAGATAGAGATACTATGGTTGACACTTGAGAGAACAAAAGTTGAACAAAATAAAACTACCTTGGGAAATGAACTAAGCTCCATCGAGTTGACTTTTTATTGCAAGTAGAAGAATGTTCAAGATTTGGAGTTTCAAATAATGCTAAAAATTTCATGAAGGTGCATAATTTTAAAACTATTTTAAAAACATCCATAAATATAAACTTGGGGTTTTTTTAATATGCAGATGCTTGTTTATGATTGAGCTAAAATCAAGTTCAGAATATCATTAGCTATCATAGTGAGAGAATGGTGGTAGCAGCGTAGAGATTCATATATATATATATATATATATTCTTGGCTTAAGGAGTATGTGTATGCTCATCTTTGTGCATTATTATACTATTGTTCTAAATGTAAATGATCTATAGTAATAAAATGTTAAGTTATGGTTCGGAGAAAAATTTCAAAATTTTTATGGGTCTTAGAGAAAAATAAATTGACTCTCTTGAGCGTGATAATAGTAATCACAAGGATAAAGTTGTACGTTGAGTGAAATTAATTGAATGTCAAAGAATGCCTCTATGAGGATTTATAAGATAAAATTGTAATAGCATGTAAATGTGATATTGAGCTCATGTGAATTAACCACATGTGTACACTATAAGGAATAAAGTAATGAGATGAATTCATTTCAGCTACATTTGTAGTGAATATTGAATAAGCGGACATAACATAATTGATGGTGGTGGGTAGCCTTTTGGAGAGATTAATGGCTAGAAAAGGCTATAAATCTATAGTTTGATATTTAAGAAGTATTCTGGAGTTTATGGCGGAATGATGAGGGGTTTAGAGTGATATATTAGAATAAATGTCAAGACTAGTTATGATGATTTAGAATATTATTTTAGATATGACCTTTATGTGAGATAAATTATTTTAAATGATAGTTAGGAAGTAAAATTATGATCTAAAATTGTTTGTAGAATTTGGTGGAGTTTAAGAGGATGTTGAAGTGTAGGGGATATGACTAGGTCCAATTGTTTACTATTTGAGTTGATGGCTATATGGAAGTGTTTAGAAGGGCTTTGTAATTTTTTTTTGCTAGTTTATTAGTCTTAGAGAATGCTTATGAAATGGAGGAAGAGATAAGAATAACTTAGAGAAATTGTTTCTAGAATTTTTGAGTTAAATAAAAGAAATAATCTCACCCAAGAAAAAACACACAAAGCTACCAAATATCAAGCAAATGAAAAGAACTTACCCAAAAAATTATTTCATTCCAATAAATTAAAAATTATAATACAAATCAGCCCATATTTGTAGACATTACAAGACAAACTTTGGAAAAAAAACAATGGAGAGAAAAAAGTGAGAGGGTTGGTAAACATTGAGTAGTTTCACCTACCCATTTTTTAAATGCCTCATCCCTACCTAACTATTTCATGGCTAACCATACAAACTTATAGATGACAAATAAATTATAAATTACATTTAAAATATTTAAAACTATAGGTTTATTTATTGGGTTCTTATAATTATTGCCTTTTTCTTTGATCCTTTCCTTGGTTTTTATCTTAGCTCTTATAATTAAGCATTTAGCTTGATTATTTTCATCCATATGATGTGATACAACAATAATACTATTGGGACTTCAAAAGCTACAAGTTATTATTGTATATTAATAATAAAGCATGCTACACAAATAAGTGCCAAATTCCCACTATATCGTTGTAAAATTTATAGGAAAAATCATGATAGAACTGTAACATTAATGTAAATGATAAATAATGTTACAAATACTATCAATTAGAGATGATTTGAATGTGATTGGGTGTTTCTTAGAGAGATATGAGTCCCCAACCAAGAAGTGCCTCTATATTAACACAAAGAGGCATATTGAGGGGACTATCCGTAAGGAATTTCTAATAGTGTGAATAGTTAAATGCTTGTAATACGTGGGTGTACTCGGTAAAATGTGAAAAAGACCTTGTTACCAACATAAATTTTGTAGATAAATATCAAGCTAATCCTCCCAACTTCACCCATGAGGGTGAATTTGAGTTAGTCCCACTTTCTTTAGGCATCCATGAGGGTGAGTTTGAGTTATTCCCACTTTCTTTAGGCATCAAATTATTTATTCTGAGACACACACCTCTTGTGTCATCTCTATGTGATATTATAAACACACTATTTTTTATTGTTATTCCCAATATATCACCTTTGGTCCATAAGACATCAATGTTCTCAAGCATCGCCGCTATGGTTAGCCCAACTAACATAATAACACTTCAACAAAGAAAAATGTCCTTCATGTCACCCGGTTGACAAATTTGCATGTTTTATAAAATTATCTTTACGTGCTCATATGCCTAAAGAACCCCTTTAGACTTGAGTCCCTTTTTTTGGATTTTAGCATATAATCCACTTTGTGAAGAATCTGAGATGTCAAAAAGCATCCTTTAATAGTATTTTTTAGGTGTCTTACCGTGGATAAAATTAATCAACGGGACTTGCGCTCAAAGGAGATTTCATCATAACCATATAACCCATGATTTTAGTTTTTTAGATCATTTACGTAAAGTCTCTAGGATGCTTACCCATTCTATCTTTCTGATTCACATTGGCCTTACCTTAGAATATGTTAGCCTCAACAACTTATTAGCTTCTATCCTTAACATAAGAAAAATCTATAATGAGCATTTTTTTTTTTTAACTTATAAATTTGTAAGAGTGCGCTAGATATTGTATTATTATTTATCCTTGGACGTTGGTTTGCATCTTTTTCCTTAAATCTTCTTTCAATAAGTTTTCTTTTCTAGCTAATTCTCTTGTAGTCAATGCTCCCTTCCATAGAATCCTCCTACTATTTTTTTATCTCAATTCGTGGAGAGATTATTAGGTGCGGAGTGCGGACGGGCAGAATCGTCCGCAACAAGCATTGGCGGGTGCTCGATACCGAGCACCCTCAATGCTTGTGCGGACGGTGCGCACTCAGCACCTAATAATTTTTCCAATTCGTGAGCCATATGTATATAGATTTTTTATTTAAATTTTTTTAATATTTTGAGCAAACTTAATTGAAAACTCAGACACACCCCCATATACGCCTATCCTCAAATTCAACATTTTATAATTGAAGCTAAAACATCCAACCTCTAGTCCAAAGCGGGCTACAAATTTATTTGATTCCAAAGCGGGCTACAAATTTATTTGATTTGCTTCTCTTTTAGCCACTTTGATAACTATGGCAAGGATGGGGATAACACTTTTAGGTTCTCTTTAAGTCAATTCTCTTGTTGTTCTACTTTTTATTGTCATATTTGTAATTAGCTACTATTTTTTTATTGCTTTCTAGAAATTATTTTCTATAAATTATTTTTTATAATCAAATATATTTGAGTGTGATACCTCTAAAAAATAGTTGTAAAAAAATTAAAGAAATATTTATAATATCCATAATTATTTTAAAAAATTGATTTTAATACCCTAGGAAATATATAATAATATATCATTTGTTATTATTTTTGAATTTTTCTATAAAATAACAATTCCGTTTCATGGTAGGAAGAGTTTGAAATTGATGCATTTTGCAAGCTATTTCATCGCCTCTCCGCTCTCCGGCTCTCCCAATTGAGGAATCATGCTGAGGAAACCCAACAAGAAGTCCTATCGCCAATGGTCTCTTCTTTCCAATGTCTTACAATTAGCCACTGATAGCCACAACGCGCAATGCCAACTCCAGCCAATTCCCCAACCAAAGAAACCTGGCAATCTACGTGCGTTCTTAAACTCCCAAATCACACAAAGAGGAAGAGAAGGGAATCTCAATGAAGCCTGCTCTATCTTTGACACCATGCCCTTCCGTGATGTCATTTCCTGGACTGCCATGCTAATGGCTTATGCTGATAATGGCGAGATCTCCAAAGCACGTGAAGTGTTTGAACAAATGCCAAAGAGAAATGCTGCTTCATGGAACGCCATGATCTCAGCCTATGCAAGGGATCCAAAGTTACTTGCGGAGTCTTATGAGTTGTTCTCTGCAATGCCTAACAAGAATAGCGTTACCTATGCTGCAATGATCACTGGTTTTTCCAGGGGAGGAAGGCTTTTACAGGCTGAAGAAGTATACCGGAAGATGCCACTACGTTTGCGGGATCCGATTGGTTCGAATGCTTTGATTAGTGGGTATTTGAGAGTTGGTGAAATTGAAAAGGCTGTTCAAGTTTTCAGAGGCATGGTTTTCAGGGATGTTTTTACTTGGAGCTCGATGGTTGATGGGTACTGGAAGAATGGGATGGTCTTGGAAGCAAGGCAGGCTTTTGAAGAAATGCCGGTGAAGAATGTAGTTTCTTGGACTGCTATGATACACGGTTATGCTAAAATTGGAGATTTAGAAGAAAGTTTGCAGCTTTTCTCACAAATGAGGAAGGAAAATGTGAATGCTAATTCGACGACATTTGCAATTATGCTTGATGCTTGCGCTGAATTTGGCAGAAGAAGAGAAGGGACTCAGATTCATGGTCTGGTGATTGCAATGGGTTTTGAGCAGGATATCTTTTTAGCCAATACTTTGATTGTCTTGTATTATAGGGTTGATAACATGGATGAAGCCAGGAAAATGTTTGATGCCATGAGCAGAAGGGATGTGGTTTCTTGGAATTCCTTAATTAATGGATACGTAGAAAAGGATAAAATTGAAGAGGCCTATGCACTTTTTGATTCCATGCCAGAGAAGGATGTTATTTCTTGGACTTCCATAGTGATGGGTTTCTCAAAAAGAGGGTGGACAGAGGAGTCAATCAGTTTATTTGAATTGATGCCTCAAAAAGATGATGTTAGTTGGACTGCCATAATTTCAGGCCTTGTACATAATGGAAAGCTTGAAATTGCATGCCAGTGGTTCAGTAAAATGGTGAAAGAAGGGATCAAACTCAATCGTTTGGTAATAAGTAGCATGTTAAGTGCCTTGGCTAGTTTGGCAATCTTAAAGGAAGGCATGCAGATACATGCCTGTGTTGTGAAGATGGGATTAGATTCTGATATATTTATACTCAGCTCTTTAATCTCCATGTACTCAAAATGTGGAAATCTCAGTGAATCATGCCAGATTTTCTCTAGCATCAGAACCTCAAATATTGTCACCATTAACTCGATGATAACAGCATTTGCACAACACGGTTTGGCACAAGAAGCATTTGATTTATTTAGAAAGATGCAGGAAGATGGTTACATGCCCAATGAAATCACATTCCTTGCAATACTCACAGTCTGTTCTCGTTCAGGTTTAGTTGAAGAAGGGAATCGTTACTTCAATTCTATGAGGTCTGTTCATGGCATTGAACCAGGGCCTGATCACTACACCTGCATGGTTGATCTGTTAGGCCGTGCTGGTCTCCTGCATGAGGCATTGAACTTGATCAACTCCATTCCTGATGGCCCCCATTCTGCAGCATGGGGGGCTATGCTCAGTGCTACTGAGCAGCATTCAAATTGCAATTTGGCTAAGTTTGCATCTCAAAAGTTTTTTGAGCTAGAACCAGAAAATGCAACGCCATATGCAGTTTTGTCAAAAATTTATAGCACTGCTGGGCTAAAGGAGGATGAGGATGTGGTAAGAAGAGAAAAACATTTTAGAGGTATCAAGAAAAGCCCCGGTTGTAGTTGGATAGCAATGGATAGTACTGAAATCAATGCTCCAGCTTAATTGGTACATCATTGATGTGCTTGTTCTAGGAAGTTTCTTTGTCATCTTTCTACTGAAAGACAACGGGTGGAGATGTCATGCTTTTGGGTACATTTTCCTATATCTTTCCGTTTGTCTGAATCTCCAATTTAAAGACCAACAATTTAGAATTCAATGCAATGTATAACATATTACCATATCTTCTTAGGCACCCAATCAAGATATCTTGTCTTGGTCATACTTATCATTAAAAACATAATGAAAGCTATTTCTTCCAAATTAGAATTTTATAATCTACAAAATTACTTGTAGATTTCATAATATCACCAAACATTGAGGGGTATATAGATAAAAGCGCAAAAGATTTGAATATTTGTTTCTTTTAACTTTGGCTCGAGTAAATTTATATCATAGAGTTATTGCTCATTCCCTTTCACTCGCTATGGTTTTCCCAGGCAAAAAAGTAAAAGTTTCCGTTATATCAATACAGTTAGTATTATGGTCTGGTATGGCCATCAAATTCAAGGTGGATGCACTAGCAAGCTAACAGAATAGCATCCTACAACCATTATTGACATAAATATGACTATACCTTGATAAAGACTACCTAATTTGCTTGCCGGTCAATTCCTTACAATTCAGTGGAGTTGGAAAAGGAACTTTCATGTTTTGTATGAGTTGTTTGTCTAGTTATATGATTATTTGATTCAGTACAAGTGTTGGAATGCTCTTGGTCTTATATAATTGTTCCATACAAAATAATGCAAAACAGTCTGACTTTTGGAATCTAGTAATTATTTATTAGTTTGATACTGTTTGAACATTTGATAAAATGTATTTTTTTAATCAGATAATAGAATAAACTCCCTTCCTCCTACTGTCAGACGATACTATAATAGAAAAATTGTCTTCCTACTACTATCAGATAATATCTATATGATTAATTAGGTTGTAATTCTTCACAAACAAAACAGAATGAAAACAACATGGCATGGTGATCTATTGACCAATTTATATAATTTTTTGTACAACAACAACATCATCAAACCTTTGTCCCATTACGTGGGGAATTTATATAATTTTTTGTGAGTATTAATTTTTTTTTCTTTCTTTTATTCGTTTTCAGTGTTTGAATATTCTCTACACACTAAACATAATGAAAACAACATGGTATTGTAATCTCTTGATCAATTTATATAATTTTTTGTGTATTTTGAATTTTTTTTTTTCGTTCTTTTATTCGTTCTCAGAATTTGAACTGGCTTGGTCAATTTCCCAAAAACTTTGGCCGTAGCTCTTAAAATTTAATTATATGAAAATTCTACATAACCTAGGACATTCATCTACAAGACTACAACTAAGGGAGGGGGGGCTCCTTATATTCTGGACGAGATATATCAAAATTTTCTCAATTAATTGATACCTGGGTGCTCAGTGTTTTATAGTTTGTTCTTTGGCGTTAATCACATACTTGTTCATTTGACGTTACAGGCTCACACAAAGAGCTCTAAGGTCTGCGCCTCCATTACAGAAACAAGCACTTGAAGCTGCTGGTAGATCTTGATTAATGCGCCTGCAGAGGTATTTCATATTGGAAAAAAAAATTCCTCAGAATATTTTGGCCGAATTTTTTATTAAAATGAGCTTTGAAGTTATTGGATATGCTTTGAGATGAGTGCAATAAGAATTGCTTATATATTGCTCTCATCTTAAAGCAGATCAAAATTTTTGATGCTCATACTAACCATTATTTGGGTGTATGGATTCAGAGGAAGAGCGCATGAGATAGACTTCCTGCAGTTCTTACTCGAAACATACTGTGATCTTGAAGAAGATCAGAACTTTTTTCTCACCGGAGACTAATTTGAGATTCTGAAGACTACTGAAGAATTCTGAAATGTGTTTATAGGCCTGGAACTACAGAAAAGCTCTGCATTGAAACTGACGACTTTGTATACTGCTTTCTTATCAAATCAATCTTTCCTCCTAGGTATGTTTCAGATCCCTTAGCCATGGTTCTATTTGATTGTCAACAAAAATTCTGCCTGTGGAATTGAAATATTAAACAGTTTGGTAATTTATATGAAGAGTTCATCAAATTATTAAGCTTGAATTTTGTCAGGATAGTGAAAGCAAATAGTTATTTAATACTATTGCCTTAAGTGAGAAATAAACCATCTCATTTTTCTTCAAGATGAGCTTTCTTGTTCTTAAGACCTTACTAGCAATCATTAAGCCCTGTCCATGGAAGTGAAGGTTCTTTTATTTGTACTGATAAATTGATTTTATGTAACACGTCTCTGGTTCGATTAATCTAACATTAATTAACTCATGATAGTACAAAATTATGTGGCCGTGGTTTTGCAACATATTGCATCAAATATTATAATTGTGCAAATATAAGATCGATAATTTTATCAAATATTATGATCGTAACAAATACAAAATTAGTTAATTTGAAAAAATATATATATATCTATGATTTTATATTGCATTACAGTGGATGTTTTCTAATGTTTCAGAGGTCATTTGATAAATATTCAAGTATGAATGACAAGCGAGGTAGATATCAAATTTTTTTGTATAAGAGTTTAGAAATATATTAGATGATTTGTTAGTTATTGACTTGATACTCATGCACTAAGTAAATAATGAGGGATATATCAAAAATCATATGTGAGAGCTTGAAAATTGTTTAGATGATTTATTAAATATTGGCTCAATATCAATATCTAAATTATGTTGTGATGTATGTGCTTGTAGTATCAAAAGGAAAAGCTCCTAGTAGTGAAGATATCTGATGGTGGAATCAAAATTTACAAAAATATGATAAAAAAGAAGAAGCTTTGTTATAAAATTGTTTTTGATATAACAACAACATCAAACCTTTATCCCACTACGTAGGGTTGGCTACTTGAAATCTTTTTCTTCATTGTGTTATGTTAAGAATCAAATTCTCATTTAGATCTAATAAAGAAAGGTCATTTCTAATATTTTCTATAGGAGAGAATTATTAAGTATAGGTTATGACGTGATACTAATGTTGCTCAAAATCAATTTGGTTCATGCCAGATAGGTCTACTATGGAAGCTATACATTTATTGAGAGGTTTGATGATGGTGTATAGAGAGAATAAAGAGGATCTACATATAATATTTATTGATTAGAGAAAGCAAATGATAAAGTTCTAAGAAAAGTGCTTTAGAGAGTTCTAGAAAAGAAATGAGTTAATAATGCTTACATTTAAGTCATTAAAGAGTATGCAAGAGCTATTACTTGTGTTCAAACAGAAGGTGATTTGACCAAGTATTTTCCTATTTCAGCTTCATTACATTAAGGATCAACTTTAGGCCCATATATTTTTTTTTCTTTAGTCATGGATGTTCTTACCAAACATTTGCAAGAGAATGTGTCCTGGAGTATGCTTTTTTTTAATGATATTCTTCTTGTTGATTAGGCTGGAGAGGGAGTTGAAGGAAAACTTGAATTATGGAGGTTAACCTTAGAGTCTAAAGATTTATGTTTTAGTAGATCTAAAATCAAATACATGGAGTGTAATTTTAGTAGTAATAGATCTAGTTGGGGGGATTTTCACTTTCGACGAGCAAGTCATTAAAAAGAGTACATGTTTTAGATACATCAGGTCTATTGGTCAAAGTGACAGTGAAATAAATGTGGATATTATTAATATATTTCAACTTTAGGCCCATTTATTTTTTTCTTTAGTCATGCATATAATTATTCAATCAGTATCAATATGAACATATCACTGTAAAAGCATATAACATTCAATGTGAATAGTGTAATCTCATATAAGCAATGAAAATTAGTATAAGTAATGTAATTCATAATCAATGATCGGTAGCCATAAAACGATTCAATACATTCTATCATTTTCTATACCCATTAGTTACAAAACAGTGTATATTTTATTTTATGTAAATTAGATCACTTATCATTGATTGAATATTAGGCTTGCTCTGCTGCGCCATTGCGTTGACTTGTCATGGTTCATGGTTGAACGGACATGCCTTTTGGCTGAGTTGGCATAGCTCCTCATTTTTGGCATCTACTTTCTCGTGACACTAAAAATTCAGCACTGTGGCGCTTAAAAGTGCAATCTGGCGTTGCGGCATCGTTAAACTTGGTGCTCTGACATTCAATTTCCCAAGACTGAAGTGTTGTGGTGCTGATTTTGGCATAGTGATGCTATGATGCATTGCGGTGCTTCCACCGCGGCAATGATTTTCCTAAAAATTTCAGAGCGGCCAACGAATCAATGCCTGAATTAGATTCTATGGTGTTGTAGATGTCAATGCTGCAAAACAAAATCCGTGGGAGCTGCGACACTCGTTCAACACTTGTCAATTTTTTTCTTACTCTTAAATATTTTCTGCAGAAACATAATTAAAATAATATATTTTCATTGAATTCAACACAATAAATAATGCACAATTTTTACTTAACAGTTATTATGAGGACTAAACTAGTTGGTGAAAATTATATGTTGAGGGGTGTAGCATTGGATGATTTTTGTAGAGTAACGTTGGATTTGAGAGAGATTCTGTGAGACCTCGTTCCCTTACTGTTCATCTCTGATTTGGATTTTTCCTCTCAGGATCGTCCAGGACGATTAGAAATTGTCCAGGCCGATCGGCACTGTAGAAAATATCGGCCTGAGAATAGTTCTGGGAGTCGTCCAGGCCGATCATTTTTGGTCTGATCGTCCTGAGACGATTTGGCGATCGGCCGGGCCGATCCGACTAATGATAAATGAAAATTTGGTCGTTTTGAGGAGAGAGAAAATCATTTTTTATAAAATCAGATATTTTGAGGAGAGAGAAAGAGAAAGGGAAAAAGAGGAAAACCTGGTTTTGGAGGCCGCGGAGCGCTTTTCGTCCGACGCTGCTGTTGGGAAAAGTGAAGATCTCGTGGTAAGGACTCCGAACCCTATTTCTGTTTTCAAAGATATTGAGTTTTGACTGAGTTATGATTTGTTTTGTGTTTTCGTAGTCAACTTTTCGACGTGATTTGGATTTGGCACAACTTTCACCGCACAACTTTTGATATGTTATAGATATGATTATTGCACACGATTTGACTGTATTCTACGAAGATTTTACCGGTCGGAATTGATTCTACGCGATTTTAATCGAATAGAAAATTATCGGGACTTGATTTGATTTGG